TCAGTTGCTTCTATCTCTCAGGTGGTTATTGTGATGCAGAGCTGGTCACTATGATACACCTTGTATAAACCAATCCCCAACTGAGAAGCCATTCTGTACTTCCTGCTTGTTTATCCCATATAAGCCCAAGACCACTAGAAATCAGAGCCTGATATTCTGGGAATGATCCCAATCAGTGTCCATTGATGTAAATAAATCCGCTTCCAAATCCTAGGTGTCATTTTGGTATTTCTGCGTGCTACTGCATCTTTATCATGCAATCAGTATTTAGATATTTCTGTTACACATTAAAAAACTTGTTAGAATAAAATGTATTTTTATTTTTTAAATTAGAAACCTTAACTCTAATATACTGATGATAAGATTCTTAAGAACAATAGATTGAAACACTCATTCAAGAAATATTAAATGAATGCAAGTATATAGCCTTGAGAAAAGCAAAACAGATAAAGTTTATCAACATTTAAACTAACATTTAAAGTATCTTTGTATATTTTAGAGATCAGTGAGTAAGTTGAAAATATATACTATGTTAAAAAAAGTGCTTACAAAAAGTAAACCATCACAAGGAATAGAAAGGACTAGACACTAGGAAGTTAATTTCTGTGGAGTGGTTAACAAATGTGCTAATGATACGGACTTATGCCACTGAGTTTCTACCATTCTATAATACGAGTTTGGAGGATGAAATTTTGTTCGTAAGCAAAAAGGGAAAATGGTACCTCTTAGTCATGTTGTACTGCTGTTACCAGGCAGACACCTCTCAGTCAATCAGGACACGTCCTTCCTGCTTTCCTTTTCATCTCTTTCTTGAACAGGTCTTTCAGGTCACAGGAAGTGTCCAACACACTCAGATATCCTACATTTTCTCTACCAACAGAAAACCTTCACCTCTGTATAAACACAAACAGTGATTGCAGCAACAGTTGAACATTCCCAACTTTACTGCTGTGAAGGAAATGGGGAAATGACATTGCTGCATCCCATTTTGTACTCAACCCATGAGATGAACTAGAAAGTCTAAGTGTTCAGAATGAAACGATTCAGTCTCAACCTCCAAAGTTTTTTTAATCATACTTCATACTAGAACATTTAAAAAGTCAACAGTTTTAAGCCTCAATGATTTTTCTCCATAATCCATCTGAATAAGTCCTCATAATTTCATAAACTGTGGCTCTCTATAAAGAGAGAAACCCAGTGTAAGAGGACAGAAACATAAAATTTCTGTGAAATGAAGTAGTATTACTTGGGGAAAAGACATTCCCCAAATACTCTTTTAGTTGTTTCCTATGAAAATTACTGATAGACTATACTTTCTACTACTATTTTACTGATAATTTTAAAGTCTTGAGAAAAATTCATAAATTTGAAGGTTTGCAATTTAGCATTTGAGGTTAAGCTATCAGCAACTGTATAGATAGTACTAAGTGTGGTAGGTAATCCAATGTGAGGCCTAAGCAAAATTTTTAAAAAATATTTTCAAATGTTAACACTATTCATTTTCATATAAGCAATCAATGTCAACTACATATGAGTATTACTTATACAGTATAGGTCAAGTCTCTACTAAACAGTAGTCCATCCAAATGTGTTATGTAGTGAATTTAAATAATATAATAGAAACCCATGTTTTCCCTCCAAAATCAAGAAACTTGCATGGCAGCGCTAGCACCATAACCAAAATAAGTACACTCAAAATATTTTCATTTGCAAAATACTGTGCAACAGTTAAAAGTCTTTAATATACTGAGTATGGTGGTAAACACCTGTAATTCCAACACTTGGAAGACTGAAAAAAGATCAAGTTTGAGGCCAGCCTAGGCTACACAGTGAGTTCAAAGCCACCTTGGACTACATGGTGAGATTCTGTCTCAAACATGAAACAAAAAGTCTGTAATACAAGTTAAATATTGTGCAGTGTTTTAATAGTAATTCTATCATTTCAAGTTTCAGTTATATCAGATATGTGGGATAATTTGGGCATAAGTTTATATGGCAATTGTAGAAAGTTACCAAATTAGTCTACAGAAAATGTGGATTAACCTACACTAAAAATGTGAATTAATATATGTCCAAGTTTAAGGTGAATTTTAAAATTTATTCAGTCTTTCAAAAATTACTCCTGGTTGGGGGGGGAAGGTGTTGTTTTACATGTCTTTATAAAACTTTCAAATTTTAAGTCATTTCTCAATTTGATTGATGATCACAATGTATTGTTTGCAGAAGTCATTATCTTAAAACCTCACAATGTCAGTACAGAAGTGCTTATAAAGATCCCCCTTTCCCCAGAAAAGAAACAGAGAAATTTAACACAGATGTATTACTTCCAAAGATTATTTCTATGTGTGGAGAAGCTTACGATTTTAACTAATGCTACGACTGGGTTCTTTGGTTAGGAAAAGAATTTCCAATGAGAGTATCATACACATTCAGAAACTGTGGTTTATCAAATAATCCTGATGGATGAAAACCACTGTTAACAAATCACTGACTACAGTCACTTATGAAGACAAAAACTAAAAAAAAGAATCATGTGAAAATCTTTAGAAATATTGTTTCTACCATAACTTCTTGAGTTTCACTGGACTGACTACCCACACAACTAAAATTCAATATATGAGTGAACTAAAAACCTTTTTGGACTTTTCTGTTACAAAGAGAAGTGATTGTTGCGCACATGAGCATACAGCAGTGGTAGTGAACCTAAGGCACATGTGTTATTTTTAAGACAAAAGACCGTGACTGTAGTTAGGTTTAACTGCAGTTAGCACTTTGCAGTAGTAAGTGGGCTTTCAATTGTGGTTTGGGTGCTTATCTCTGAAAGGTTTGCTATCACTTGTATAGAGTGGCTTTAGTGCTTATACTGACAGAATAGTCTGAGAGGAAACAGTACCAGGCCATATGGTTAATGTTTAAATGTTTTCAGTGTGGGAATTCAGCAGTTCACTGACTCAAGGATTCCTTTTGTTGGGTTCTTTCTTTCTGTGAAAAGCCACAGATTTCCCTATTATCTTCATCTTTGGTGCTGCCATCACAGACATAGAGAGGTAATCTAACCTCTTCATTAGTTGAAGAAAGGTGGGTATGTTCTGTTGTCATAGCCACCAATCATCTGTCTCAAAGATACAACAATACTTCTATGTTGAACAATAGGCCGTATGAGAAAGGAAACCAAGAAACAGAAAAACAGAATATTTGTCAATTATTTTAAGTAAAAACTGACTACCACTTAATGTACAGTAGTTTAAAAATTTCTGACTGGGGCATTCTTGTCTTTTACCACTGTAATATAAATAATGCAAAGAAGATACATTTGCTGAAAACACAAACACAAGAAAATAATGACCACTTTTTCAGTAAATACTATTGTAATGTAAAGGAAATGGGTTAGAGAGGGCTGAGGTATAACTGTAAGCCAGTAGTTACAGGAAAATAATTTTCTAATCTCTACTCATTGTCCTGAACCTGCCTAAAATATAGATATATCTAACTATTCACATACATTAATCAGTAATTCCACTGGACACTTACATCTTGTTTATTCATTTTCACTAAAACTGGAGAATTTTCAGAAATGTCTAAATATTTATAATTTCAACATTAAGTAATGTGTACTATTTCTCTACAAGTATTAAAACATATTGGCCAAAAGTAGCTAAGCAATTTATAAAAGACATGGCTTTTTTTGTGTGGTTAAACCATATTAATTTGAAATGAAATCAATTAAATCTGATGTCAAGTAATATTTACATTGTGAATATGCCAGTTGACTCAAATATGCCTTACAGAATTATTTTCCTTCAACCATAGATAACTTCAGAAAGAGGTTAAAGTGGCCTATCCAACTTCACACAGGTAAATGGAACAAGTTTCCCCTGGGCAGTGACGTAACCACCTTTACCCACACTGAGCCACACAGCCACTTACAGAGATAGTGAGCCTCTGATTCGCTCCTCGGGTTTGTAAACAGCTGAACATGCTTTAAGATACATGTCAGAAGAGGCTCATGCTAACTGATAGAACTGCGGGGGACCAGCGGCAGCTGAAAAGCTAAGTATGAAATATAAATGACTTTTATTTTGAGAATGTGGGAAGAGACACCCCCGAGCCCCCGCAGAGCACGGCATCTCCACCCCGGCATCTCCACCCTGGCAGGCGATCTCTCCGACTTGGAATGAGGCACATAAGTAGCCTCGGCTTGGGGTGGAACCCAAGGGGGCATTACGGATGCACAGGTAGTCCATCGGTCTTTGTTTGGCACCAGAAGTAGATTCCTAGGGGTGGGGAGATAGGAGCTCTTAGGCTTAACCAGCTAGTGTCCAGCCTGGGCCAAAACCCTTTCACTAACCAGCACATCAGCACAAGGTTCTAAATTTGAGGTTTTTTTTTTTTTTTTTTCCTCAGACTATTATTCTTGTATCAGTTATTTCCTTTAAGACATGTCATCTCAGTATAGAATAAATTTAATGTCTTCATTCTATACTATTACCATTTGATCTATTCTTAAAAAAAGTTTTTTTGGTTTTTTTTTTGTTTTTTGTTTTTTTATGGCAGGGCTGGCTCAAAAGCCCAGGGCTTGCAGAAGTGCCCTACCACAGTTATGCCTCCAGTCCTAATTCAAGGCTTTCAATCTATCACTTCACTGACAGTCAGGTGAGGAGTCAAGGCTGCGTTTGTCTAGAATCATATTTAACAGTTTATGGATTCAAACAGAGTTCTGCTAACTTTAAACTCTATAAAAAAGTGAAGTACCTTTTCAGAAGTATTTAGCAGATTTTATAAGTATAAAATCCTCCAAACTTATCTCATTCTTAATTTATAAGGAAATTAGAATCTCGCAAGTCTACTTAAACTCTAGAATTCTGGTTAATTATAAATAGCTGACAAGTTTAATGGAAGAAAGAAACAATTTCATAGATTACTTAGTTGTTGTCTTTGCTTACAGAGTACTTATTCATATAGTCAACCACTGAAACATACATACCAAAGGTAACATATAATTGTTACATTTTCCATCACTTTATTTTAGAAAAGTTTTACAATTGATGCCCCAAGGCAGGGTATCAAGAATTTCACAAGTAATACAGTCTTTTAAAAACCTTTATACATTATCCCAAAGTAGAAAATTATGTTTTGCCCAGGCTTGGACTCAGACACATTTGGAAAAAAATATGTATTTCTAAAAATAAAAATGACAAATCTAATTCAATCAATCCATAGTCTCAATATTCCTCACTGATTTGAGTAATTTATGCATAATAACAACTGAATTTTATTTTTATTCTACCATGTCATATTAATCAATTATGAAATTATTTAAATTATCTTTTAAAATAACAAAATAGTCCCGAAATCCAAGAAGTATCATTAATAAAATCCAATCAACAGAAACAATACAGGTGAGTTAACTACTAACACAGATCATTACTTCAACGTCTAAACATTTGGCATCTTAATGTTATTTCCAAACCAGATACCACAACATACTACATTTGAAAAATTTGAAAATTCCATGTCAAAATGCCTCAAACAAGTTTGAGAGCCAGAAAAATACTGACACACACAAAAAAATAGAAGACTGTAAGCCAATAGGTGGTACAAAGCATAACTCATAAAAACATACTTTTATCTGTGAAATAACCTTAAATATTGTCTGAACACCAGATTCAGCAACAATTAAGGATCTAGAATTCTGAGTTTTAGTAACTAAAGAATTTTGATGCAACTAAAAAATAAACTGTAGCTCTATTTTAATGGAATATCCCAATATTGATCATAAGCTTCATCACTACCTTACAATAATGTTCTTCCAAAACATTAAATTATTAAGAGGATCTCTGCCTTTATTTTGAAGTAATATACCGAAATAAAAACAGCATTCAGAGTAAAGCTCTGACAGGACATTGAAAGGAAAAGCATAACATTGAACTGTAAAAATGTGTATGATGAGCAATCTGACAATGTAAAAAAAAATGTAAAATATAATTAAAAAGCAAAATTTTAATACAAAACAAAATAAAATTTATTTATAAACCATCTATACATTTTATTTTCCTAAGGAACATACTTTAAAAGTACAAACAAAGTATGAGGCAACAAGGTTAAGAGAGAACTAAAGGATTCATTTATTTTGAACTGTATCAAAGAATACAAAGGATGACTCCTGGGTTTTTGTTTACGTAACACACCAAGTTTCGCTTTTTTACCCACTGAAATCTTCTTTATAGGTTATGATAAGACAATATGCAGACGAGAAATTGATAGTGACAAACATGAAGAGAAACAAATCGACCACATTTTCTGTAACTATTTTCTGTAATACTTTGTGAATAACCTCTTTTCTGTTCTGAGTTTATCTCTTCTCAGTACGTGCCTGTTAATCTTTTGATACTTGAGATTTTTTTCCTTTGCAAGGAAAAATGAAGTCTTAAATGAGTCTTAAATGAAAAACCGGTATTTATCCAAGCTTTTTCCCACTATAAGACAATCTTCACCATCTAGAACATTAATACCATATTTATCTTTTTCCCAAATCCTCATTGTCTTTTGGAGAGAAATGTACCTGTTAAATTAACCACATTTACCTTATAGTTTGCATCTGAGAACATTTCTTTCTGTTGAATTTCTCCTGTGCTTATTTGTTTCATTATTTAAAGCTAATAATGGTGAGAGGTCAAATATTAAGAATGCATATTTAATTATTAAATAAGAAAAGAATACATGGACATGATAAAATAATTACTAGTAATTCTTTAGCACTTAAGATATAATAGTTTCAGGATTGTCCTGATTAGTATGGCATCAGAAAAAAACAAAAGCTGCCCTGGGCAACAAAGCCCTAAATAACTTCAGTGTCAGGACCATAAATTACATTTTTTAAAATGATTAAACATTTTTAAATACTTAATAAAATTCTTTACAATGAGTAACTAAGTTACTCAAGGAATAGCTACTCAAATAATAGTTATCAAATAAAGTCTAAACTTTGCTAATATGAAGTTAAGAAAAAATAATAATCCCAAATAAATACAACAAACTTTTCTTCTGATGGATGTGATTTTTGCCACTTGCTGTGCTGATAAAATCATTCATCACTCACTAGGAGCACAGACATGCCACAGCATTAGCACGTATCTTGTTAGCAGATGTATGATGATAAACTTCACATGTATATACATATAAATTTTGGACTTAATCATTATCAAGTTTATATACCATAGACAAAAATATGATGCGTACTACTTTTCTCAAAATGCAGATGCTTTCTTTCATCGAGGGAAATTTAAGAAATTTCAACATTTAAAATGAACAAACAAACCAACCCCCCCCCAAAAAAAAAAAAAAAACCCAAAAACAAACGAGGCTGCTTTGGCTAAAGCAAGGTAGGGTTAACAGAGATGTTTCCATCTTGCAATGATGGATAAGATGCCTGTTAAAAGAGTGCTTCAGAGAAAGAGCGGAAGCCACTGCTCCCAGTACGTCCTATCACTTCACGAAGGTCAATCACAAAAATTTTCCCCAACTATATAGGCCCATATGAAAACTTTATAGTAATGCAACTGAGTATAAAGTTAAAAAGTAACCTTTTTCTCTGTTTTAAAAATAACTAATAAAATAAAGTCATTATGCTATATAAAACCATAATACAGTATTTTTAGTTCATAATTTGATACATGGAAAAAAGTTACAAGCTTGCCTTAAAGTGCCTGACGTTTAAAGATTTTTTTCCATATAAGTATTAGCCAAAATATATAAGAATGGAAGGTAGTAAGTGGAAGTATATTTTTCTGTATCAAACATTATCTTCTACCTGACTCGCCAATTTAAATATTTTACCTCAAAATAGTAACTTTACCACAGAATATTCAGATAGAGAAACATGCAAATAGAAATAATCTGTTGTAATAACACCAATAAGGGAAACCCTTATGGGGTTATTTGGTTTTGTTTGCTTTATACAAACTGTTCATCTCTCTGCTCCAAACATCGCCACATTTATGGAAAGACTACTCTAATCCATGCAGTTGATATTAGCAAAATACAAATAACATATTCTCTTCTGTAAAGATAATTAAGTCTCTTAAATTCAATAAATATACTCTTTAATGAATTTGAAACCCTATCAGATATTTTATGCTTGTAAAGTCTCAGTTTGTCTTCTTTTCTAATACATCCTTGGGCTCTTGCACAGTAGGTACTAAAGATCCTCCCCTACTTGGCTCTTGCTGCTCTTTGCTCTCTTCTATTTGTTCTTGACCTTCCATTTCACTTTTAGACACTATTTCGTATCGCTCTTCTATGTAACCTCCATCTGTGTCAGCCGTGTAGATTCCATAGCACATGATACTGATGACACCCAATGGCAAACCAAAAAGAAAGCAGCCCATAAGGGGGGAGCTCTTGAATATGGACTGTGGAACAATAATTAAAATTCAGTTACTCTCAAAGTAATTTCGATAGTAAAAGCACACAATAAATTTAAAATCACTACAAATTTACCATTCATCTTGCTAATTTTTTTAGTACCACTGAATAAATGTCAGTGTATGAGCTCTACCATGGTAAAGTCACTGTGAGAGTTAAAAATGGTTACTGTGTGCCCAACAGTTTTGATCTGTTTGTAGAAGTATAGAATTCATTCATGGAGAAAGCTTAGTCATATATACATATTATCTTCACATAACATTTTTTACTTACTAGTAAAGTCCATTTATTTCAATCATTTTTACGATTCTCTCAGCTCCTAAGTAAGTAAAAGTATTTTCAATTTCATTGAATAAGATTGTGCCTGTAACTTCTGAGAACAATATAAATACGTTCAGGGGAGAAAACATTTTGGCTTCATGGAACAATGGTGGAAATTCAGGAATGAGCAAGCAAGAGGTGGAAGAAGATAAAATGTAAGTGCTAGCAATTAGTTCCAGAATTGTAATTCAAAACTCAAAAACAATGAAAAATGTTTGTCGATGGATAGAGTATTCAGGTGTGCATCACGGGAAAAAGCAAGGGAGAGTGAGCAAAGCTGGTAACTGTAGTAACTTTAACCATGTAATGGCATACAGAATCAATTACAGCCTTGGTAAGAAGAAGTATGGAAACCAGGTAACAGGAGAGCAGCAAGTAGACATGACTTGTGGTACAGGTCTAATCCACATTGTTGGCAACAGAAGCACAAAGAAATAGTACTATTAAATTGAAAGAATCCTTACACAGGATAAACCAAAAGTTATTATTTACTTCTCATCAGTTAAGAAAACTAGCTGTATTTTCATGATTGCTTTCAGTCATCAGAAACAGAAATGTTGATGGGTAGCTCATGACAAATAACTGGAACTAAGTTAAACGCTTAAACAAATTTAAGCCTGCCTCTACTGTCAATTCTTAGCCTTCCAACCTGAAGCTGGAAGGCTAAGAATAATTTCTTAGAATATAGTTCCAATTCTAAAATTAAAAATTCTGTATGACCCAGCTATCTCTCTCCTAGGTATGTTACCCAAAAGCTAAAGAACACAGCACAGTGATACATGCCTATCAATATTTATAGCAGTATGATTTACAATTGCTAAATTCTGGAAACAATCTTCATGTATACATCAAAAGATGACTGGATAAAGAAAATGTGGTATCTATACATAACGCAATGCTAACTGGCTATAATGCAGGACAAACTGGAGACATTTGTAGGAAAAAGATAATATACATAGAAAATATAATGTTGAGTGAAATAAATCAGACGCACATGCTTAAATATCATATATCTTTCATTTGGTAAGGCAAAGTACAAAAAAGCACAATAAAGGATGGACAGAAGGAGACAAGAAGATTCATTTCTTGCAAATGGTACAGGCTCCAAGAGAACATAGGCATGACAGCGAGAGAGAAGGGAAGGCAAAACAAGTAGAATACAGATAAGCCAAGTACAGGAACCTAACAGCCTAAATGAACATAAGGATTGTGCATTAAACATGAGACAAGATTAATGATATCAACAAGAACAAAAATGGGGAAAAGGAAATTTAGAGGAGATATGAGAGGTGGGAAAGGGATAAAAAGAATAGTTGTATTTTGTACCTCTGTCCTATACAAAAATGACCCAACTCATGGTATTAAAATTTTCTCATTATCTGTACTTTCATCAAATTACAGTATTAATAATTTTACACACAGAGACCACAGAAACAAAGCTATATTTTAAGTAATACTATCAAGTTAAGCAATTCTGTATTTCAATAATTCATCAACCATATAGAAATAAACAACTTCCACCTTGAATGTTTTCTTTAGGGTGATTAGTTCACAGCTTTGAAATTAAAGACATACTTTGACCTAATCCTTTGAAAGTCTAGATCATTCATGGTGAACCAATGGCATGTGTGTTATGTGTTCTTTTAAGATGAAAGACGTTAATGTAGAGTTGCTTTTTCTAAACTAAAATCTCAGTATTTAGGTGGTGTTGATATAACTTGTTTTTTGAGTTGTAGTTTGGCACTTGATTTCTGAAAGGTTCGATACCACTGATCTAGATTTTACCATCATTACAACAAAGGAATCCCATACATTCTTAATTACCAATGATATTAAACTGTCACAACTTACCACAACAGTAGACTTAGCATCAAATATTATTCTTTTCAATCTCTGCAAAATGCTATCACCTCCCTGGGCCTTTAATTTAATAAGAAAAAGAAATTGTTAAGTACCATCATTTCATTTTGCTGGATCATAGAATTTTATTAATGGGGGTAAAAAGGTTGGCTACCAAGTATTAAGGATCGAAAAATTCGTAACATTATTTTTTTCATGTCCCATATTTCTTCTGCCTTCTTCTGTTAACACATCCTGATTCTCCTCTGATGAAGAATTCCTTCTCTCCTACTCACAATCCAAACAGCCTGGAAGAACTGACCCACCCTGAGTTGAGGCCTGCAGAATTTGTGAACTTAACTGGGATTGCTAAACCAGCAGTGCTGCAGGGTACACCTTTTGCTACCATATAGTACAGTCTACCAGATGATGGTCATCAAGAGGCAGAGATGAAAACTCCCCATGAAAATCACCCAACTCAGACTTCATTTAAGGCTTCAATCCCCAATTTATACAGACCAAAACAATGTCTTTGTTTTTAGAACTCTGAGTATGATTCCAGTAACTAACAAAAGAGTTCTCCATTATACAGGTATTCCAACTGAAATCAACACATTATTTCCACAAATATAAAATTGTCATTATGTGATTAAGACTATCAGATTTCTTGATCTTAATCTCAGATTCACTCTTGCAAATAAAGTTTGTATAAATGAGAACCAGTCTCATGGACCAGCCATTAACAATCTGTGAGGCTGAGGAAGGAGGATTTGAGCCTTGTTTGGGCAACTCAGGGAAAGCTTGTCTTAAAAAAAAAAAAAAAAACAACCAGAAGAAAGCTGGGAAAGTATGTAGCTCAGTACATCCAATCCCAAGTACCACCCCCCACACAAAACATAAACTTTGAGAGACTCTTGTTTTCTTTTTAAATTATATTTCATTTTGCTGAATTAAGGCAGGTGCCATTCACCCAACTTAGTTGTGACTTGAAGAAATAGCATGATTCTTTTATATATTTGCAACCAAATTTGAAAAACCCTGGTCAAGTTTACAGGGAAAACAAATAGAAAATTATTGCTATTTGTTCATTAATTTCATAAAACATCAAAATACAGAATGAGTGTTTAAACTGCCATTAATGCTCTTGGAAATACTACCCTCTTCCTTCAGACAGACATATGTCATCATTTTTGCAACTTTCTGAAGCACTCCTGGAAGTCCTTTATGTGGGTACCTTTTTGAGGTGTGATTTCAAATACAATGAATGTTGCTGGTATTTCCTGTCCAAGGGAAAGCCATGCTCATTCACCTTATTCACTGAGTTTGGCAGTGTGTCTTCTGACTTTCTTAACAGGGAAAATGACCACAACAAGTAAACATTCTCAATCAATTCAGGAGACTGAGATAGTTAGGACAGTTCAACTAAAGATACACAAAAAACAACTTCCAGAAGTGCTTTAGAAGTGACAAGAAAGTGTCACAAAGTGGGATAAGTATGTTTAAAGGAAGGAATGAAGAATATTTTGAGGGCAATTAACAGTAATGTGTCTTTTACTGTAAAACAATCTTTTCGTCTAGTAACATTTCCCGAATGTTTGGAATTCTTTGGTCCCTAATTCTCAAGTGTATGTCTTGTTTGCACATTTTCTTAGAAATCCAATCCCGACACCTCAGTCCAATGCCTTATAAACCTAGAAATGCGTTAAGTGCTTGGAAAGTTCACTATGGAGATCAGTCCACACAATGCAAGTTTCTTATTCCTACTCAACTCCAAACACAGTACCACCTCCACAATCACTGTATCAATCATAAATGCCGTTCAGTAACTCCTTCTGCTTCAGAAGAACCTTCTGAGTCTGGGAGAAGATGAGTATCTATGACAGAGAGGGGGTGATGACTACTGCTTTGAGAATCAAGAAGGAGCTAGGTTCTCTTTTGTTCTTCCCATTATGCTTCTGAAATGTAAATGAACTACTCACTTCTACTGTGCCATCCAAAATGTTATTAATGAACTGGACCATGTCTTTGGCATTATTAATTTGTCTGTCCAGCAAATAATATTGCTGGTTTGAAGTATTCAGTACAACCACAGTTGGGACTGTCAATTCACTAAAAACATAAAAACAAAGAAAGCAAATATGTATTAAACACAGACAGCAAAATTCTGTCACTTATTTCATACTAATTGTAAAACTAGTGAAATTAAATTAATTATTCTACTATGTAGCCAAATAAGATAGCTACATAATCATGAACTTAAGGATAGAAAGTACAATGTAATGAGATACTAAATTTTAGGCAATATTATTTCTTGTCACAAATCTTTAAATATCATCACTGTTAATCATATAGAATCCCACCTCCAGGAAAGAATATGGTTGCTAGAGTTATGTTTCTTTTGTTTAAATGTGGGGTTTGCTCCTAAATGTTGCAGGGTGGTATAAGGTAAGTTAGGTTAGCTTCCTATATATAACAATTTTTCATTTATAAAAAGGGCAATATATCTCAATATAAATGTGCATTTGAAATTCCATGTAAGTATCCATTATAATACTGTGTTCACTGCAAAAGTTCAATAAATAGTACTGTAAACTCTCCATATACTCTTTGGATACTGTTCCCAATAACAGCAAAATACAAGAATACTTTCAAGTATGCTTAAAACATGCACCAAAAATTCCCTGTACCCACCTCCCCCAAAATAACCAAAATATATTGCATTTTAGGATATTAGAACTCCCTCTAGCTTAATAATTTAGATAAAGTGTATCTCACCATAATTTACTCCAATTATTAAAAACAGTATCATCACTCAAATTATAGTAATACTACCAAATCAAAGTTCATCTATCACTATACATTTTGAATATCATCTTAAATTATAGAGTTGCTTATTGGACCAAAATGGATTGGGCTTCTTATAAATGTGACTTTACAGAATCAGTATACTGACAAGGAAAGATATAAGAAATGGTAATCAAGGTCCCTATCATATATACTTTAAAATTTCTATTAAGGATATATTTTCATTATACAGTGACTTTGTTATAAGGCTGTATAAATATCGACTTCTCGGCATAGGTCACACACCTACTTTATACATATAAACAATGTAATTCCAAGGCAATGGAGAGGAATGATGTAATGGTTTTTCTACTTTGTTTCTACTACCGTAGTCTGTAATCTCAGCAGAGAGACTGGGGTAGGAAGATAACAAATTTGAGCCTACTGTGGGCAATTTAGCAACTTAAAGAAACTGTCTCAAAAATTACAAAACTTCTGGGGATGTAATTCAGAAAGACAGTGGGTTTAATCCTCAGTACCGTAAGAAACAAACAGCAGCAATAAATAAGGGCTAAATATTTCCTTTCATTGTTATATACCAGATATAGTACCTCCGTATACTGTAAAATTCTTTCTAGAATGAAAGAGGTAATATTGACTTTTTATCATAAATTCAACAAAATTTTGAGGCTTCACATACCCTGATTTTATCTTTCAAAAGAGATGTTTTGTCTGTTAAAATATATTTTTCTAAATTAACAACTGATTTTTCAGCCCTGAAAATTTTCTATTTAACAGTTATAATTACCCACTTGGGGGGGGGGAGCATGAACTGAGTACAAACTACAAAAATGGCAAGTTTTTACATGATGTGTTTTCAGAGTACTATGTATTAACCCATTGAATCAGGAGAGAATTCTTAATATAGAACAATATTAAAATTGAGTAAGCTTCAAGTATACCCAAAACTAAAGAAAAATATTTAGTAAGAAAATGTCTGCCACACAATATATCAACTATTTGTTCTTTCTCAACTATTCAATCCTCATTGTTCATCTCTCAGAAATAGCTACGAGTTGATAGAAAAAGCAATCAGGATTTTACTTACTCCATCAGTAAAGTATTTATGTAATCATTTCCATCCATGTGGCCAAACTGAAAATCTCTAATAAATCATGGTGGAGTCAGAGGAAGGAAGAGCACAACAGTAAGTTTTAAGAAAGGTAAACAATACAACAAATTGAACTTCAGGGCTTGGTAAGTTCATAAGTACTTAACAAGTAAATTACATACAACAGTAGACAAAAGTGTCAATTCTACTGGCTTTAACAGATACAAATACGCATGTGAAGTATTAACAAATTTTACTTCATTTATACATATTTGTAACAGAGAAATAAAAGCTTTTACAATAGGAACATGCCTAAGAACAACTATCCATTTATTATAAAACAGTTTTACTCAAGATGCCATCTACTGTGTACCATGATAACTGCACTGAGTTTGCCTTAGAAGATTTGGAACAAGGTAATAATTAAACCATATTAACATACCAATATGACTGTCTTTCATGGCAGTCAGTAAAAGAATGCTTTAGCACACAGCAGAAGTATTTATTTCTGATGCCACTTTTATATTGTTATTCCTTTGAGTTCTTGTTACAAACATTTGAATACTGAATTCAGATCCTCATTTAACTTAATCTCAATTTTGTAAATAAATTTTTCTCACAAAACTTACCTGGAATCCTGTCAAGAAGCAGGAATGATACAAGTTATATATAAAACAATGTGTTTTTTTCTCAAACTGGTAAGACCATCAGTGAACGTCAAGACTCAGACAATTCACGATAGAGTATAACACACTTAATATGTACTTCATTTCCTGGATTTGCCTTTCAGAGCATGAAAGAAACACATACTGAATATCCCTTATCTGAAATGATTCAGACCAAATGTGCTTCAGATTTTTAAAAATTATGTATAAATATAATGAGATATCTTGGGGAGAGGATCCAATTCTAAACATGGGACACATTCATGTTTTATAAACACCTCATACACATAGCAGGACAGTAATTTTATGCAATATTTTAAGTATGTTTGTGTTTTGATTAGTACTCATCATATGAATCAGGTGTGGAAGTTCTATTTCGTTTTTATCCGTACCAGGGATCGAACTCATGACTGCCTGCTTGTAAGGCAGGCGCTTATGCCGCTGAGCTAAACCCCCAGCCCTGGAAGTTCTATTTGAGTCATGTCAGAGCTCAAAAAGTTTTAGATTTTACAGCATTTTGAACTTCAGATTTTCAGATGAGAGATTCTCAGATTTTCAGCAGCATGACTTATACTACTTTTGTTTTATTACAAAATATAATTAAAAAGAAATAAAAGACCCTTCCAGAATGCAAGCACATACCTGTGGAAGTGGTCTCTGTAATCCTTAGCAACTTCTTGAATAATTGACTTTAATCTTCAAAATAAACAGATATTTCAATTCTTAACTCAAAAAAAAAATAGAATTATTCAGTTGTAACATATGCTATCTTATCTAAGTGCTGTAGGAAAAGATACCATATCAAGTTTATTTAAAATCACATAAAGTCTGAATTGAAAAATATTTGAAGCTTGAAATTATTTCAAGGCAAACTATACCTGGTATGTTCAATGGATGTATTTTTCTCATCAATAACTGCGATAGCCACAAGCTTTCCTGAAATTAAGAATGACATCTATATTCAATAACCTCATTATATAAATTTTTCAGTTATCACTTTTGCTGCAAACAGGGATTTAAAAGGTTTCTAGAATTCATTACCAGCTATCCTCATTTACATTTATTTAAATCAATATATTATAGTGTATTTTTATAGAGTCAATCTGTGAATTGGTCATCTGCAAATCAACTGATATTTCCTTCCATTTTTCATCTCTGATATATAAACAATGGCAAATTATAATAATTTATTTTTTCAAACAATGAACAAATTAACTAAGATAAGTATTTTGTCAACATTAAAACCCTAAGTAGTAAGAATTAAACTGACTCACGTCTTCTTTATCCTAAAGAAAATATAAATCATATGTACTTCTGATATGATGTTTGGAGGCAACATGATGGAATAAGCAGAACACTTATGTGGGGTCAGAAAATTAGATTATGCACACTATATTATAGGAACTAAACCAAAACTAGGGAGTACAGTAACAAAGCACCATCACTTATCAGCCACGTAACTTAACCTCAGGTTATTTTAGGAAATGATTAACCTACTTCATACAAAAATGGAGAAAGCTAAATGAAGTTATATGCACAAAAATATGATACCATCTGGCTCAGAGAAGATACAAAAATGTAGGTTTAAGTCAACTGCATTTCAATAGCACACCATATTTAATGCTGCTTCCTCAAATTCTATCCTGCTTCTTAATATATTTCTAAATTCTGCACAATTTTGACTCTACTTTTAATCCTCTAGTGGGAAAAAAGCTTACAATGATTTTTTTCCCTTCTTATAATATTCACTAATCGGTTTGGATTTAATTATGCACTTCTTTAATTTTCAAACAACTCATGAGTTTGGCTTGTATTGTTTTGTATTTTTCCAGAATGGCCACTGCAGGATTCTAAGAAACAGACAGTTTTTCACATATTAATTTAACAGTTACTGAGTATCAAATAATATGCTGCACACTGGGCCAGTTACAAAGTGATAAGCTAATGTAGATCCAGCTCTGCACTGGGGAATGTGCAGTCTAGCGGGGGAGAAAGACATTTATACTAGACACATGTTAAGTTAAAACTAGTAAGAGTTCAGAAAGAAAAAAAAAAACATGGGGAAGAAGGTTTTTAGAGGAGGATGAGGGAGGAGGAAGGGAAGGGGAAGAGGATTAAAAAAAAGAAGCAAGTTATATTATGCACACATACCCACTCCTGAAAACTGGAAATTGCATGTACTCTAAACATGTACTAATAATAAAAAAAAAAAAAGAAAGAAAAAGAAAGGAATACCTGGCTATAAAAGAGTAAGTAGAGTAAGGTAATATAGTCTGATGGGGTTAGTTAAGATTTGTAAGAAAAGGAAACATCATTTGGTCTGCATTTAACAGATAAAAATGAATTTAAAACATCATTCGCGCAAAGTTAAATATATAAAGGTGCTTTGGTACAAGTGGTATAGCTGTCTTAAACGATGTGATGGGTCAGTGTGGCTGGAGAAGGGAAAATATAGGGGAGAGATCAAAGAAAAATGAGGATGGATACTGAAACAATATGTATGCAAATGTATGTCACTGTATGCAAGGATCTACAGTCACAAAGCTGCTGCTAAGTTACTCCGTGTGAAGCCACACACAGCTGGGAGACCTGCATGCGGGCATAGGCTGACAATGAGCAGGGGCACAGCCAAGGGTAATGGCAACAAGAGCAATTATGTCAGACACAAAAGGAACACTGCAACAGCAAACTTCTGATTTCAAATTAATCTGGGAAAAGAAATTGAATGTAGCCTAAATTAACTATTTCAATTACATTGAGGTTGTGCTATCTAACATGATTATGTACTGAAGGAAAAAACTTGTATATCTTTACATTTTTCTTTTCTTTTTTCAAATAATCAGAAAATAATTCTGAAATCCTTGCTAGTACCATGTCAACTTCCACCAGTGAACTAAGATACAGCTCATCAGATACAAAATGTCAAAAGCTGGCTCCTGAACCAGAACAAATGCAAATCTAAGACAGAGTTCTTAGTAACAGGAAAATATGCAGGAATATTTCTATGTTTGCTTTTTTTTTTGGTACTGGGGATCAAACTCAGGACCTTGCAAGGCAGATACTTATGCCGCAGAGCTAAATCCCTGGCCCCTATGCAGGAATATTTCTAATCTGTATATGATTTCATTTTGAAAGCAGAGAATCATGAAGAATAAAACTTATGTCCATAATTTTTCATAAAGCACTAGTCTTATATAGTGTTCTTTCTTCTCTAACACTATACATTTACTGTATTTACAATAACACTATAATGGGAAATAAACATGGCAACAATAATCAGGATTCTGCTATAAATTTATAAAATTTCTTTGGTAGCCAATCTTGCAGAGATTGAGTGTTCAAACTATAACCCAAAATTTACTTATTTATCTAAGTGTCAAAATTGCAGTTAAACAGAATAGGGAAGTTTTAGTTTGGATAGAACAACTGTTACCTGATGCTTGGTTGCTGCTGCATGTGGACAGAGAAGGCTATTTGCGCCCGCTGTGACACATATACCATAGATTCATTCCCAGTGACTTTAACTATGCCAATTTACATCAATGAAATCATGTAATTAACTTCTCCCACTTTCATATGTATATTCATATATGTATTTGCTTTCTCTAGCATTTTTCATCATATAACTTTAAGAAACTACCAATTAATTCATTTTCCCCTCACAAGTACGAACAGGCCTTCTGAGCTAAGAAGTTGCATTACAACTTCTATTACAAAATCTGCCACCAGTGTATGGCCTCTTGGTGGATGTGGACGTTCTCTCATTCTCTTATTACTGAAGCTCCCTGCCTTTCTTGTCATCATCAGCTCAATTAGTAAATTATGTCTTCAGCGAGACTTTGACTCATATACAGAGGTATGTTTCTGGTAATAGCGTTCTCTATTATTATCACTGACAACTATAATTCAGGTCTCCTTTATAATGAAATAAGAGTTTAAAATCATTTTGAAAAGAAACAGATTTAAGTAATCTTAACAAAAATTCTGTGAAGTTACCTGTGTCTCCAAGTTCATACAAGAGGAAGCCATCCATAGTAAGGTAATTCTGAAACCTTTCCCTACTGATCCATGCTGAGAGATCACCATCTTCATATTCTTAAAAACAAAGTGAATTAAAATTGTAAGATTACTATGTTTATCATCTCAAATATGAGATGGGACTTTAAAACATTAATGTGGCAAAATGTATAATATGCCAAATATAGGATAATAATCTTTTATTTTATTGTTTTTATTTTAAAGAGATTAAGACAAAAGAGGACATAACAAAGCAGAGCAGAACAGAACAATGTAAGCAACACAGTATTTCACCACAAGACAACCTGTAATTAATAGTAACTACCATAAATAACAGTAAATACCATTCTTTCTTTGAAATAGTTGAGCATAACCTCATATACAATATGAGTATCAAACATAACAAAATAGTATAAAATCATTCAAGAGAATCAAAGTATTACAGGGCATTCAGAACAAAACAACAGAGAACGAACAATGGCTATTATGTTATCTCATTTTAGATAGAAAATTTGTATATACTATCACATATAATAAAACCCAGTAAGATACAATATGATAGAACCAATGGAAACAGAAGAGCAAAAGCATGGTAGGACTTCACAGTAAGATGATATTAAATCAGCACTGGCTAATGTCTTGTTTTCTTCAAAATAGCTGTTCCTATTATCAAATAAACCAGGATAAAATCATTCCAACTAATGAATGCAAACATTATAAGGCTTCAAAGCAATGTAATGGGGAATATGATTACCACAAACTCTTATGTAGGATAATAATCTTAAATCCTAAAAATAAAACATTTTATTTTTAGAAATTTAAGTAATTAAGATGCATTATTATGGGATATCATAAACCAACCAATAATTTTCTAACAAAACTATGTAGTTTCTCATAACTGTACCAGTGCGCAACTCAGTAGTTGCACCTAAGGGATACAAAGCATTCATTGTGTTCACCTACTTGGTACGATCAATGGCAACATGTGTACATCTGTGCAAACATGTCAAATTCAGATTTTTTTGCCTGCATAATGTTTTGTGCATTGCATATATATCCCTAAGCATCACAGGGTGCAGAGGAAAACACATTCATACCATTCTTCTGCTCTGCAAACGTCTAATTTGCCATAATGGAATCTGGGCTGGGTCACAGTAACTAACCCTGGGAAAACCAGAAACCCATCTTTGTATTCACTTATGTGGCAGATAAACAACAAGAGGTGTACAAAGGCTCCAAAGCAGCAACAGGTGAATTTTACCCATGAAATGCTCATTGCTGAATTTGTTGAATTTAGCATTTGTTTCTTAAAAATTTTTCCTTTCATTTTTCTTGTAGAAGTAGCACGATTCAGGACAATGGCTCATGAAAAATCTGGTTACTGCAGCTTTCAGGAGTATATGACAAAAAAGTCTTCAAAGTACATTGTAAAAATAGATGCCTGCTTGATGCAAAGACATGCACTTTCAATTTAGAAATATTACCCTGGAACTCAGCCACTAGATCCCTATTCATATAGTAATGCCTCAAATGACGTGAACAGACTTGCTGCTCCCATCTCCCAAACTGGTGAGAATGGAACATCTCACAACTGGTTTACCAGTGTAGGAACCATACACAATAATAAAGCAGAAATTTCTAAAGAACACAAACTGCTACTGCTGAAGTCAACATTGCATCATGAAGGAAAAATTCAGAGACAAACTTTGACAAAACTGAAGCCCGAGATCGTAACTTTTTATAACAAAACCAAAGGTAGAGTAGATGCTATTGATGAGTTAGCACCAAGTATCATGTCATTCAAAACACAAAAGCATTGGCTAATGGTTGCGTTTTATTTGAACCTAAACTTGAGTGGCGAGAGTACTTTGATGGTTTACATAGAAAATAACAAGTGTAAAATACCATGGAGAAATTTTCTTAAAAGGGTTTGGACAAGAACACATAACAGATAATTCACAACAGAGGAAAAGCAAAATACTTCTGCCTAGAGAACTATGCAAAAATATTGTACAGCACACCAGTAAGGTCACAGGTGAACAGGCAAGCTCCGCATCATGAAGACCTACTATGACAACAGGAAAACCAAAAAGATGTAAGCTGTACGCAAAAAGAAAAAAAAAAAAAAAAAAAAAAAAAAAGGACAGAAAAACAAAACATATGTTCTGTCAGTGTATGTAATTCTCATTCTCATGCAGTTTTCATGGGTGAAAACTGCCTTGGATGTGACACTTAAAGAAAAGATTATTTCCACGGTAGACTTTTATTTGTATTTACACTGTAGATCATAAGGTTATTTATCTCTGATGCTATCTTTTAGGTTTTCTAAGCAAGTTCAGAGCTGATACGAAAATGTTGATGTCTATTCTAAACACTCAATGCATGTTCACTTTATTTTATTGACACCTTATTTTTTTTTTGCTAAGTGCACGCTGTACAATACAGTAAGAAGCTGACAAAAGAGCAAGACCAGTGAGATGTCCAATTTGTTTTGTAAGCAAGTACACACTTGATATGAAAATGCTGTTTATTCTAAATGTGTGTCTCAGCTACTTTCTTCTGATGTGATAAAATACCCAATTCCCAAATATCAGGAAGAAAAGATTATTTATCTCACAATGCTTAGTGGTTTCAGTCCAAAATTGGCTGGCTCAAAGGCAGCGAGTGGCAGAAAACCTCTTTCTGTCCTTATATTGTATCCAGGCTAGAGTATACTAGCTTTTTGCAAAATCAGAACTTTTGTCTGCTAAGCACACAGAAAATATACAAAAGAAGTGTCTTAATTAGAAATATAATGCTAAAGTAATTTGAAAAATTTATTGAGCTGCATGAAAAAGAAGCCAATGTAAAGTAAACGTTGGTTAAAGACTGGATTACAATGATCTCTTCCTTTCTTATTAGTACATGTTTATAGTACATAGTGATTTCAGTCATTCTGGGGTGTTGGTCCACATACTCAACATATCTAATTTTTTCAAAGACATGATTTTTTGGTGACTTGGAATGCTAAACAAAACACTTTCAACTTATCAAGCCTATAAAGTATGTAATGCAAATCTGAAACTATTTATGCAGTTTGACTTTTAAATTTGAAAAATAAACCTAAAACTAGATTAAATTGATTATGTGATCACAATATTTGCACTATGTCAAAAGCAGCTCCTCTAAAGATTACACAAAATAACAAACTTTAAACTCAGCAGAAAATACACTAACACTATCAGGCTGCATATTTAGCTCAGTGGCTTAAGCGCCTGCCTGGCAAGAGTGAGGTCTTGAGTTCAACCTACTCTTATCACCCAACACTTTTACCCATGTACTTCCAAAATTATTAACAACTTAAGTGTTAAACATTTAAAATAAAGCTTCTGGTGTGTGCAAACTTTAAGCAGGTTCTAAATACTGCCTACTGCATATTAGAAAAGTTGGCCCTTAAGGTAACTAACTAAAGAATCTGATGGTTTTAGTTCCGTCTCAGGCACTAGAGAACACATGTGAAACATAAAGACATGAGGGGGTGCTTTGATAGGCAGGATCAAAGAAAGCATTTAAATTAAACAGATGTGATTAGTTATACCTAAAAAAAGAAACGAAGTGGCTCTTTTCAGTTATGAAACTCACAGTAAGAGATTACCAATGACTAAGCATTTTAACTTGAAAGAAATATCTTTTTTTCTTATAAAATAGTAAAAATATAGACCTTACAGGATCATTTTAATGACAAATAATATATTCTAAGTGCTTATCATGAGTATGGTAACCAAAGATCAGATGGATACAACAGAGTAGATGGATTGTTTTCTTTACTTTTATGGATAAAAGATACTTCTGAGATATTTTTTGAGCCTGATGTCGAATGCATTCAACAAACACTGCACGAATGAATGGCTGAATGAACAAATAAGTAAACCTGCCATTCTGTTATTCATGACTCCTCTAACATTTTCAGTTATCTCCTTTATAAAACTTGAGAGCATTTATCTGTCTTATTATTTCTTCCACAGATTACTGTGAGGATAAAATGACAATGTAAAATACATAGTACACCTGCTATATAATGAAAATATAAAATGTAGTTACTAATATGTATCATGAAATTAACTTTGGTTCAAATATTTAAAGACCAAAAAGATTAGAAATGATTATTTTTTATATTTAATAATAAAGTGCTCCTTTTACTAAAATAATAAAAAGTTCTTACTAAAATGAAGCAACTAAATGTTCTCCTGTTCATTTATTTAAATAATCCAAAGTTAACGTCTCTAGCTAGTTCCTGCTTCCTTTTTGTTATACGGAATTCAAGGAGAAAAAGAACTGCTCTCAGAATATTCCAGCAGTGAATGGGATGCTCCCCATCTGTACTCTCCAACACAGAAACAATAACCCGTATCACTGGGTAGTGAGAATGAGAAACTTTCTCATAATAAAATATGAGACAGCTTACTAACCTGTCACTCCAGATGTTATTATGACGAATAATGCAAGGTGAGACTTTGCATTCACTCACACCCCACTTTGAGTGGCAGTGTGGTATCCAACAGGTGTCAAGTTCCACTGTTTCTTTTGAAAATTAAATTATTTCCTGGTATCCCTATGACTTTGCTGCACTCCCCTGGGTTAGTCTGGGAACCAGTAGAGTGAGTATTTGAAGATGTTAGGGAATTATTAATTATCTTAGCTGTAAAAATAGGTCATGGTTATCTAAAAACTAAAATTCACATTTTTAAAGAGGTACAATGAAGCACATACTGAAAGAGATAAAAACTGAAATTTGCTTAAAAAATATATCAAAAAAGGGGAGAAGCAAATGAGGTTAAGACCTTGATGACTGCTCAATCTTTGTGACACACATACAGGCTTTTACTGTTACTCTCTTTATGATACACATTTGCTATCAGAATCAAAAATTTTAAAACAAGTATTTGCTTCAATGAACTCATTCTGACAGGGAGAAAGAGATGTAGCTAGGAAGAAAACATACAGCTCACACTATTCAAGGTGTTTTACTCATCATTTTGGGTATCTGAAATATCAAATGTTTTTTAGAATTAATTCTAAATATTTAAAATAATGAATTAGCTAACATACAGATTACATCTCAAAAAGGTACATAATCTGACAGAAAAAGAAAAACTAAGAATGAAATAGCTGAAAAAACTAAAACTGCATGGTTAAAAAAAAGTCTGAGTTATTCAAGAGAAGAGAACTGTAAGCAGTAGAAGCACTTACAAAATCTCTTATCAATACTTCCTGTAATAGATACAGATATTAATTTTAAAAATGTTTTACAGGAATTAAAACTGTGGGACTTACCATCATAAACAAAGTAAGTTTCATCTTTGAAAACAAGCACAGCAGGCATCTCTTTAAGCGTCACATACTGTAAAACACCAGCAATTTAAATTTTATCATAAAAAGCTTTAATTGGTAGCTATGACTTTAAAAGTACTGAAAGATATCCAAAACATACACAACAACAACAAAAGAAAAGCCTTACAAATCTGAAACACTGGATCTCAATGTGTTATACATTCCCTGGCACAATGTCCTATTTGCCACGGCCAAAACCATGGACTACTTTTAGAGCTGCTAAGAGACCCAAAGACAGCATCGTGGGAGGCAGAGGATGAAGGCACTGTGGAGGGAGAGCAGAAAGCTCATGTACGAACTGGCCTTTCTGGAGGTGACCTATCCTACCCCTTGGGCTCTGAGATAAAGAGCCAAGTACTTTACCTAGGGAAGTCTGCTTCCTTCTCTGTGCAACAAGGACATTAAATTTATTTACCTCACAGAACTGCATTTTATTTTATAAAAAAAGGGACAGTACTATTTGAATTATAAACTTCCTTTTAAACAAGGGTCATTAGTAATGAGGGATTCATTCAGAAAGTACCTGTTTCTTACAGTCATGTTATACTTGTTTTAAGAGTAAAATTAATTTCAGATCAGAAGACAAGTCACTTGAGTTAAGCCACTAAAAATTATCACATGGACATGAGAATAATGAAAATAACAAATAAAGAGAAGCAAACATCTCAGTACCTAGAAAAAATACAAAGTTATTATATTGCATTACTACTAAAAAATGATAAAGAATCATGTGGAAGCAGTCTAAAAACTCTGAGGTAAGCCTCTATGATCAAGCATGTCCCATTCACGACTCTTGTCAACTCAATCACAAAGACATGTGGGAAATATTTTTCAGCATTCAATATGTCTATTTCAAAGATATCGTTGAGCACTCCTTCCTAAACACTCTTAAAATAGTCTAGAAATGTGAAGCCACATAGCTTTACAATATTCACAATCTTTCCTTTTCTCTCTCCTCTCTTGTGTTCCTTTAAACTTCTTACATTAGTTATTTGTCTATATGTCATTCTTCCCCAATCATTGTCAAACATATTTTGAAGTTGGAAACCATTGCAATTCACTCTTGTACCCTCTTACTAAACCTACTGAACTGTTCATAACACTAGTTGCAAAGCAAATGAATCTCTGAATAACAAAAGATTAATAATCAAGACACCTCATTGCTATATAAGGATTACGACAGTGTCACCACTCCAACCTGAGCAAATTTTAGGTGTACTCCAAGTAAAACTGCCGTCAAGGCTTTGCAGATGAGTGTTAGCCCAACACAGTCTCACCTCTAATAGTAAAATGTAGAACATTGTTTATGGGAGACACAGTATTAGAAAGTTCTGCACGTAGTCCACTTTATGCCTTAGGTACATGTTGGCATTTCCTAACAGAGGTCTATAACTTCTTAAGGCACCTATCTGAGAATGTGATAGGAAATAAGGACTAGCTTCCAGCCCATTTTTCCCATTTCTTTCCAGCCCATTTCTTATGTGTGTGAGGCAAATACACACATAAGATATTCTGCAAAATAACTTCTCTTAGACCAAACCAAGTAAATCAAAATTAGTTTAGGATGAACAAAAACTAAAAACTGTCTGAGGTTTCTAAAGGAGTTTAACATCATTTCAGAGTAAAATTTATAGAGCAACATAAAGCATATTTATATAAAAACAAAAGCATATTTTCTAATTATACTTATAGTCATAATATGTTTAAATACCAAAAATTTAGGAATCCTTTCACTCTGTTGATGGTTTCCCTTATTGTGCAAAAGCTTTTTAATAAGATGCACTCCCAGTTGTTGATTCTTTGTGATTGTTTCTGTGCAGTCAGGGTTTTGTCCATAAAGTTTGCTTAGTCAATGACTTCAAGAGATCTATCTTCCAGCAGATTTAGTGTTTCTGCTTTATTATTCAGACGTGTGATCCATATCGATTTTAGCTTAGTGCTTGGTGAGAGACATGAGTCTACTCTTAATCTTCAGCAATGTGCAAAGCCAAGTTTCAGCACCATTCCCTAGTCTTTTTTTTTTTTTTTTTTTTTTTTTGGCCACGACCATACTGTTTTTAATACAGCTGATTTGTAGTACAGGTTCAAGTCAGGGTGGGTAATGTCCTCTGCCTTGCCTTTGTTACTCAAAATCGTTTTTGCTATTTTAGGTTCCAAATGAATTTTAGGATTTTTTTTTCTCTAGTTCTGTGAGATATGCTGTTGGAATTTTGATTGGGATTGTATTAAATCTGTGTAACAATTTTGGAAGTATGGCCATTTTCATTATATTGGTTCTTCCTACCCAAGAACATGGAACTTTCAGCTGTTCTGCAGACAAGATTAATAGCTAGCACTAAAAAAAAAAAAAAAAAAAAAAAAAAATCTAGTATAAAAAGAACACAAAAAAATCAGAACTCCAAAATTTAAAGATCCAGTCCAAAAAATGGGCATCTGAAATGAATACATACTTCTCAAATAAAGAAGTAGAAACAGCAAATAAATCTATAAAAACATGTTCAATACTACAGGTCATTTGAGAGATGCAAACGGAAACAATGGCTGACAGTCCCTCTCATTCCAGAAAGAACTGTTGTTACCAAAAATCAACCAATCAGCCTAGCAGGGCTATGGGGAAAAAGGAACTCACTCTTCACTGTTGGTGGGAGTGTAGGTTGGTATAACTGTAGAAATAAGTATAGACTCTCGAAACACTAAAATTAGAGAAACAAACAAACAAAAAACAAGCTAAAACTAAAACAAACTAAAACTAAAACTGAAACTAGAGGATCTATCTGACCTAGCTACTCCCCTTCTTTGTATCTTTCCAAAAGAATTAAAAGCATCATATCATGGTGATATATACACACTCTTATTTATAACTGCACATTTGTAATAGCAAATCTTGGAAACAACACATCAATCAAGGAATGTATAAAAAGATGTGGAGTTTTTTCACAATGGAGTACTATTCAGACCTAAAGAAGGATAAACTTGAGACATTTCTACATAAGTCGATGTACTTGAGACCATACTAAGTGAAATTGGTTGGACATGTGGGTTAAAAACTGCATTGTTTTGCTAGTATGAGAAAATATGTAAATAAGGATCAACATGTAAAGATACTGGAAACAGGAAAAAAATGTTCAAATGGGAAGCAGAATCAAGAAGGGGAAAAGGAAGGAAGAAAAACTGAGTAGGAAAACATGGAAACAAAGCTTTTGTAAAGGAAGAGGGATTGGAGAGCAAGAAAATGGGAAAAAAAAGAATCAAGGTACATCATATGCAGGTACAAATTTCCTAGGATGAATGTGAATACTGTGTATACCTAAAATGTATCAATAAACTTAATTAAAAAAAAACTAGGAACATATGTATAACAGGACTTAACTTCTACGAAAAAAATTCCACTTTTATAACTCATACTAATTAAAAAATTTAAAAAAGCTCCCTTGATTTCTTCTGAGTTATTATTACATTTTTCAGGTCCCATTTCTAAAGAAAAATCTTTATATTTGTGGTCTCTACTTTTTCTTTTGCCCAACCACTGTTTTTCAGGTGACATCATGAGATAATGATCACTGTTGCTCAATTCAAAAGCACCACCAGTCTCCATCTGGACAAACGTCACTATTATTTTTCTCTTCCTTACCTTGAATACTTCATAAACATGGGATAAAAAAAAGAACTATTTGTTCTTTTTTTTTATTATATTTTTTCTCATTTCTTTCTGTAATATTTTTATTTTGGCTTCCTTCTCATTTTGTTTTCCTACTTCCTTTGTATTATTTTTTTCTGTGTTCAAATTCTGGGGTCTCTTCATTTGCTTAAAAAGTTGCAACTCATGTCTAAGTTTACTTAAGAAGTCTTGACTGCAGACTACTATATCCATATGCTTATTTGAAACATATACTTGGTTGCCTAGTAAGCCTTGCCAAAGCAAAGTGAACATTTCAAAGTTTTTGATTATTCTCTTTTTCCTCAACTAGTTCCTTCCACAATATTCTCTATGCTTATTAATAACACCATTGACCTCCCAGATGTTCAGACCATTAAATTAGAAGTCATTCTCAGTTCATCCATTTTTCTCTATCTCTATTGCATCAAAATCTAACAATATCTTCTAGACGCAACAATCTTTTAACTTCTCCCCAATTCTTTTATTAATTGCCAAACTCAAACACGCAGATTATTGCAGAACTTAACTGATCTCTCTCTGACTGCACTATAGTCATATCAGGTATTATACTCTTTCTCAAATATTCCAAGCATGTTCTCATCTTGGGCATTTGTGTTGTCTGTTCCCCATTTTGATACATCTTTGCATGGCTACTTCCTGTCATATAAGTTCCCAGTTCACATATTCTTGACCAACCAGTATACAGTAGCTCTCCCTCCTGCATGTTCCAATTATCAGGACACCACTTTTATTTTTTTCTTCATTGCATGTATGAGATCGTGTTTAAAAGATCTGCTCAGAATGCCTTTATCTCAACCTACAGGTCCAATCAAAGACCTCACCTGCAACACACAAACCCATGTACATACACCTATGTCCATCCACAGTTGTTATCTCAAACACACAAGTTGTTAAAAAACAACTTGTGTGTTTGAGATAACATTTTTCAGCAGTGCTACTGTTTTAAAGGGAAAATACCACAATTGCACATTCATACTCTCTCAATACCATAAATTTGGTGATGTTTGCTTACTTATAAGCAGTCTGATGTCAGAAGTAGTCAGTTAACATGTTTACTCTTTCCTTATATCACAACAAAATAAATCTGATTAAAAAAACTAGTGACTTTAAAAAATGTAATCATACACTAAAACCCAATTTTAAATATTACCTCAGGAATAACTTCTTCTAAGGCAGAAAAGAAGTATGTATATACAATCAATTCTGAAGCAGCATCTATGTATTTCTCCTGTGATGATACAAAAAAGGTCGTTTAAAAACATTAAATATGAAAATTTATTTCTCATTAAACGGATCTAACTTGTGGAGTAAGCAATAACGTAATTTATTACCATGTACCCTTTTTGATGAAAAGATGAAATTAAGCAAATCACAGAAACTGTTTTCTGAGGCAAAAGACCACTGCAATTAAATTTTACTGTGCTCTTAGTGACCATGGTAGAACTCCTTATATGTCTTTTTAGTTTTATGTGTCTATAGGAAAAAGTTTAGTTCTGTTCTGCTTTGTTATGTTTCTCCCTCTAATATAGAATGGATAGAAATACATGTTAAGACTCAAGCTTACGTAAATCCTATAAACAGTTTATGAACACTGATCTGATGACACATGATGAAATGAACAAAAACTTTGAAAGAAAGTGGCACTGCAGTACCCAATCCTGATTCCGGAGTGTTATGATGTGAAATCCAGCAATATTATTAATCTTTGTTTGAAGGATTTTAATCTAATAAGATGTGTTAGGTCTGAGCATAATATATGGATAAATGCGTACATGTCTAAGTGTATAGGACTGATAGCCATAATACTTAGTTTTTGTTGGATAGTTGAACAGAACTGTTTGCAGTCTCCCTGGTTGAAATCCCATTTGTATGTTCTACTTGTGTACCCTGAACAACTATTTATAGGGGGACAATAGGTATACATCAGCTAGTGATTTATTACTTTCTATTTCTCTTCTTTGAAAGTATGTACTATTTCTGCCCGTTTTCTATTTTAATTTGTCTTTCTTTAAATTAAAAAAAAAATTTACTGTGCTCCAAATACAGATGACTAAACAAGGTTAATATTTATTAATTTAAAGTTATATTAATGATCAATATCAATGAGGATGATGATTACAGGAAAAATGAGTGTTTACACGTGCCCACATAAAATGAATTTGTTAATGGTTGTCTGCTTTTAAAAAGTTAATATTCACAGTGCCACTTATAGCTGTAGAGATTAAAATGACAAGAAGTAATACGGAATTTAAGTAACTGAGTAATAGGAAACATTAAACATCTAGCCACTTTGTTTTGCTGACTTCTGTTTCATGACAGCAAATACCAGACAGCCCATGGACAATAAAGATTTTATTATTAAAAATATTCAAATTTTTATTTTATAAAAAACAGAGCAACCTAAGATATTTCTAGTTAAAAGCATAAGTTCTGAAATTTTAGTAAAGTCATGGCTTTACAGAAAATAAATTTATAATACTATTTGTTTTCTAGAATAAGAAATGCTTTCATACCTTCAATGGTGATTCTCCACCTACGTAAACAAAAAATACACGATGCCTCTTCCGTACATGTTCAAACATTTGCTGGCTAGGAAGTGGCCGAATCAAAGCCCTGTTAGAAAAGACAACCATGTATGAACTATTCCAATTATGTGACTGCCAATTATGTGACTGCCAATCATGACACAAGTTTTAGTAATGCATCAATTGCATTTTAAATTTATTAATAAATCCACATAAACCTAATGCAACTCCAGCCTGCAATTATTAAAACACATATTAATAATTTACCTAAGATCTACAATTTAATCTATCAGTTACAAAATAAGTTGCAAATGCATCTCTTTAGGGAGGATCATCCTCACTAATATTTTGACAGGTAAAAACATAACCATTACCCACTTACCATCCTCAGTTAAAAACAAAATAATCCACATGAGAATTATTTTCTCCCTTTCAAAAGAACATTCACACAAAAACACTGTAACATACTATCCCAGGAGTATACAGTACTTAGGAACATTGATGTAATATATAGTCAATTTAAATGTTATGTAGTTTTAAAGTATCTTATGGAGGTTAAAACAAGTTTCAAAATATGCCATTAATTATCTTGGGGAAAAATTAGAAAATGACAGTCATGACAATACGCAAGAATCTCATAGAAGGTTCTTTAAAATCTCATCTGTCTTTTAAATATGATATATATCATATTTCCCTCCCACAAAATTTGTAAAGACGTATTTTGCAATAGAAAACATGTTCTAATGCTCCAATTCTCAGAATGCATTGCATCACTCTCCACTTTCCTCTATTTTAACACTTAGTAATTAACTAGCAAGTGATGCAACTCCAGAACTGACTCTTGAAATTTCATTTGTAAGTCACCCCAAATATAAATATATCAGGCGAACCCCTACATGTGAACTAAAATTCATTCAGTACTGCCAAAACATAAAGACTAATATCAATCATGAGGACTAAAGTATTTCCTACTAGCACTCTTCTCATAGATTTATTTATTCTCAAAACAAGGAAAATGAAACATGCCATCAGTGAGAAAAAACAGTAAAAATTATGATAGTAACAATCACAAACTTTATGAAGACTAATCCTAATTCCATGAATTTTCTCAGTGACATAGTATCATGCCACACAACAAATCCACCATATTTTAACATTTTTTTCCTTTCTTTTCTTTTTTTTTTTTGGAGATAATCTCACTGTGTAATTTACGCTGGTCTTGAATTATGTAGTCATGGTTGGCCTCAAACTTCATGATCCTCCTGCTGGGAGTTCAGGCATGTGCTACCATGCCCAACTCTGTTTTAATTTTAAGGTTTTTATATAAGACTATCAATATTTCATCAAGATTTTAAGAAAGTGCCTATATTTCAAAGACATTATGAATTAATCTAACATGATAAATATTTTCTTCAAGAAGTTTCATATAATCATGTTAAATAATTATAAACACTGATTTTCTTTATCCCTAAGTTAAGATACAGATTTAAATACAATCACATTCAAACTAACAGAAAAAGCTTGTGGAAGAAATTTGTTCCTGATCAGTAAAACCTCAAAAATGTTTAATTCAATTCAGGTTTTAACTATGTTATCCACTTGGCAAAAAATGGAAGAATATTTCACAGCTGGTAACACAAGCATGTGATGATATGTTAAAAAAAAAGTATTTCACCTATATCTAAAATGCATTCTCCAGCTTCACAGGCTTGGAAAAAAACCCAAGCCTATCACAATGATATTTTAGTGGTTCTTTTAAAACTCCAAAATCCACGAATAAGGAATATAAATTTATATTAACTAGGCACTACAGAAACAAAATTATAATAAAAATTAAGATTCATGAAAGCGCTCCTTTCCATAGTTCCGTTTTCCATCGTTTTAATTACCCACATCAACCATAGTCCAAAAATATTACATGGAAAATTCCAGAATAGTTTATTTGTTTTACATTCTGCACAGTTCTGAGTAATGTGATAAAATCACATGCATCTCAGTCCTGTGGCCCAGGAATGTGAATCATTCCACTGTCCAGCTATGTAAGCTGTGCCAGCTACCTGCTTATTAGGCACTTAGTAGCCTTCTCAGTTAGCAGATCCACTGTGCAGACACAGCAATGCTAGTATTTAAGTAGCTCTTATTATTTCTAGTAATGGGACTACACCTACAAGAGTAGGGGTACTGGAAACTTGGATATTATAGACAAGCCATGGATTGTTTCATGTAAGTATTAGAAGATATTTTGAGAAAGAAAAAAACATACCATTCACATAACTTTTATTATAGTCTATTAGTATAAATGTTGTATAATTGTTGGAGACCACTACGAAGCAGGTCTGCGCAGGATTTAAATTTTACTAATTGGCTTTCTATGTTTATCTGTGAGTCTGTCCTAGGCCTAGGCCCCTTGCCTGGCAACGGGAACTGATTCATAGTAAGCGCACCTCTATGAATCATTGGTCCTGGCTGAGGCCTGTAGTGGTCTGTGAGGCCAGAGATACCTCAAAGGGCAAGATAAGGCCACAGCTGTGGACACTCTGGCTCCATCCCAATTAACTAGGTAGAGACTGCAGCTGCAAAGATTACCCTACAGTCTTACTTCTACCATGTCTTCATGATAAGACAGTGCTACTAATTGGCTTGATTCATGACTTGGATATGTCCTTGAAGTGACTCCCAAGGTCCTGCTCATTGCCTGCTCTTTCCTCAGTTTCTCTGCCCTGTGTCCTTGGTCCTAACATAAGTTGACTGACCCAGAGAATCCTTTGTCTTTACCCTCAAAGCCTCGAGCTTAATTAAAGGGTTTTGACCCTCCTGGAGCTCTAAAAATCATACAATTTGTCTCTTTTTATTTAACCTCCACCATACATTTGTTTGGAAGATCGGGGATCTAGGACAGAACCCGATATATAATTACTATTATTCCTTTACTGTGCTTAATTCATAAATTATAAGTTTTCCTAGGTATACAGAAAAGAACATTATATACAGGTCTTGGAACCATTCATGGTTTCAGGCACCAATGGAATGGTGACTCCTATGATTAAGAACAAATAATATAAATAATCAAACATTTGAAAAGGTATTGAAATTCACTGAAGGAGCCACCATGGTAGCATATGTCTGTAATCCCAGAACTCAGGAGGCTAACGCAAGAGAACTGTCTCAAGTTTAAGGCCAGCCTGCTGGATTACATAGTCATTTCAAGGCCAGCCTAAACTGCATAACAAGACTCCGTCTCAAACAACTCAATAAATAATTCACTGGAGAAAATTCTTTTATACATACGTGAATTTAAATATGAGAATAATAAGTATACAAAACAGCCTCTAAAATATCTTTACATTGTACCACATACTCCTATTTTCTTCCTCATAAACAAGTACATTAAGTCCATAAAACACGTGCATTCGGGCTGGGGATTTAGCTCAGCAGCATAAGCGCCTGCCTTGCAAGCAGGCAGTCGTGAGTTTGATCCCTGGTACTGATAAAAACGAAAAAGACAAAAAAAAAAAAAAAAAAAAAAAAACACGTGCATTCAAATATGCTGTATAAAAATATATCTAATGTTCCACAGGGTGAGGTGATAAATGCCTCTAATGCCTGCACTCAAAAGACTGAAGCAAGACGACTATGAGTCAAAAGCCAGTCTTGGGCTACCAACTGAATTCAAAGCCAGTCTGCACTAAACAGTGAGACCTTGCCTCCAAAATTATTTTTAAAAGACTGAATTTTCAAATATTTATATCATATAGTAAAGGTTTCTAATGATAGAAACTTACCCAGATACTCTATGAGCAAACTCAATAATATCATCTTTAGTTCGTGGGCCTCTGTAATTATATGCCAAATCCCCCTTTAATCTTGAAAAGGAAAAAAAAGAGAATTATTTTGTGCTTTAGTATTTGATATTCTATAATGCCATAAATTTACAGTACATAAAACAGAAAACACAGAGCAGTTTCAGAAGTAGTATACCCATGTAAGATATAGGCAATTGGCTTCACAGGATCAGCAAGTCACAATATATAGAAAAAAGCTGTTTTCTATTAGAATTACAGAAAAAACTATGTTGCATTTGATAGCTACATTGCATCTATACTTTTAAAAAGCGAATAATCTATAGCGCTTCAAAACAATATTATAATTACTCAACAGATGCTCTAATATCCAGCATAACAAATTGATAAAAATAACTCTTCTGAAAGCCTAGACAATTCTCTTGCCAATGACAATCTTGCCCTGCCAATGAGGTATGTGTTTAATTAACCAATATTACAAAAATGAAAAATCAGGAAGCATAACAAAATAACTTTTGTTAAAGAGAAAGGTAAAAAAGAATTTTCATAAAACAATCAGAGGAAGTAGAGGAAGGTAGGGTCTAACACAAAATCAAAAAAACAATAAATTTAAATTACTCAAATTTTGAAATTCAAGAATTTAAAATATTAAAAATTACTTTTATCATACAAACTATGTTCAAAGCAATTTCTCAACTCCATATATTACCAAAATAAGGATAATGATCATCATGAGGAAATTCAGTAAGTTTACAATGATTAAAAAAATCCTTTAGAATCATTTTACTAGTTCTTCTGATTTGCATATACTCTGTAAGACTTACTCGACAACTACAGATTAGATTAACATCCATTAATTGTAGTTCTCTTATCTCTAATGGAGCAAATTGTACAAAAGTTAAAGTCTGTTAGGAGACAGAATTTGACAATGACAAAGCAGAACACATACTCGAGCTTAAATAAGATTAAGAGAGCTATCATAATCCATGACTATAGTTTTGTCCTGCACAATGCAAGCCACAGTAGACTCAAAACACATTACTGAATTAACCATCAACAATATATCTACTTAAAATGTAGTAAAGTACAAAGGTATAATCCTCTCGTTGGATGACATACATCACCTAAAAAAAAAAAAAAATGGCTGAACTCAATTATCTGACACTCAAAAAAAAAAGAGAGGTAAGAAATAAAATGTAAATGTAAGCAGAATGAACTATAAAAATACACATACAAACATATGGCTCTCAACTTACAGCTTAATTGTTGGGTAACCTCGAACTCCAAACTCTGAAGCAATGCCTTGACAAGAAAAAGAATAAATAATTCTAAATTTTTTTTTAAAAAATGAGAAACTAGGTAACAAATGAGCCTTTCATTAAAAATTTATACAAACCCATGTAGAAATGTTGTTTTTAAGTTTTAAAAAAACCTAAACAGAAAAAAAAACCCACGTATTTTCATAAAAAATAATAATACAAATAAGGGGCTACAAAAAATACTAGGAAAAAAATAAGTGTCAACAGAATAGTTAAAAATTTACTGTGAATTAATTTTAAAAGATACTTTGGTAGGGGGAAAAAATACCAGTACATAAAGTACTTCTCATTTGACTTCATTTCCAGGACAATTATTTCTTCCCTGACCTCATCCATCTCTGCAAAAAAGTCAAGTCTTATCTTTTTCTTTATTGCTTCCTGAACATTTGAGAACTATAGTATATTTTAATGGTAGAAACATAAACGGTATTTACACAATTACTTAAATACTACAGGCAATGTATGATCAAAAAGCAACTATGTACACTTTACAAATTTCTGCACTTTAAAATAGTTGCAATTATCTCACATATTATTCTGCAATTCTCACATTCATTAAAATGAGAAATATTTGCTACAAAATTGTTTTCAGGTGATAAAAGTAGCATATAAAAAATGTCAATAGGGAAATAATTTATCACATCAATACTATAGAACTTTATAGACTCAAGGCAACCAGGGCAGGAAAGAAAAATATAAATATTTTCAGTTAACAAACATGATACAGTATAAAACATTTATAAAAGTATACTAGTGAAATGTATGGTATATTTACTCACATAATTTCTCCCTCTCCAATTTTCTTCACTTCCAAGATGTTTACATATAGCATCTTGGGGCAAGGAAACTACTCCTAATCTTGGGTTGTGGCAAACAATTACCTCAGTAACTTTATTAATTTTTAGCATCTTGCCACTGGTTAACAATTCACAAGAATGACACTGTATATATGTGAAAAATAATCTCCAAAATCTGTCCATCTTGCTTTCTCAATTTTCTACCTTAGACATATGGAGAGAGGTTACTAGAAGGGTCTGCACAGTGACCAACACCAATTTTCATTCAAGACACCATAACAGCAAGGATACTAAAAGTTCAATTTGTGAAAATCTAGCTCCTGCTTCTATATATGCATGTGAATCTATAGCAATTACACAATTCGCTTGTGTTTTAATTTGCAACTTAATTCTGTCATGTATGTTCTAAATATGATTGTGGCTGTCTAGATTGTATTCTTCAAAACAAAACTTCAGAAATGCTTTTGGGGAAATTATGTGAGTAAACTCATTTTAATCCCACATGTCACCACCAAATTACACAGGCAAGTAAATACAGGCCCTAATTATCTTCAGTTGAAATCCACTAAAGACTGCTTAACCAAAAAGAATAATAAAATTGAGAGGGCAAGCTGGGTGTGGTGACATATGCCTGTAATCTCAGCACTTGGGAGGTTGAGGCAGGAGGATTTTTGCAAGTAGAAGACCACCCTGGGCTACAAAGTAAGCTTAAGGCCAGCCTGAACTGCATAGTAAAATCTTTTCTCAAACACACACACACACACACACACACACACACAGGAGGGCCATTATATTCTACTAGTAATGCCTCTGATGGAACTGAAATTATTTTACAATTCACATACAAATGAAAAAAAAAAACAATGGAAAATATAGTGGTGGCATTTCACAGTGTGCTGTGGATTGCTCTGGAGTGAACTCCGTTTGCAGATCTATAATATTATCTACTGAAAGTCTTCTCTGAACACTTGAATTTAACTGATACTTCCAACAAAAAAAAAAAAAATTACAAGGAGACTTAAAAATGTCATCAGCCTTATCTTTCCTTATAGGGGAATGATGGTATAATAAAAAGTGCAGGCAGGCTGAGTTATAGGTGTAAGAGCATAAAGACCCACACTAGGGTTCTAACTTCTTACTTTATTTACTATCTATGCAAATGAGATGAGCTTTTTCATGTTTCTGATTCTGCTTCCCCTTCTGAGGATCTCTCTCACATTGCAAAGCTATGGGTGAAATTTTTAAATGAGAAAATGTGTAGAAAAGAGTCTGGCATAAAAAAGATCCTTAAATGCTCCTTTATAAGGGACATACAGTAGTTTTTTTTTTTTTTTTTTCCTATTCTTAATCAGTTAATTATGTGCTGATACATTAATGGACAGGGATGGTTAACACTACAGTACAAACACCACTGTGTGTAAGACCATCTTATAAATGGCTTTAATATCACTCAACTGTAACTCAAACAGTTTCGTGTGGAGGAAAAACTGTTGCAAATTCAATCATATAAAATTCACATTAAAAATAAAACTCAGCAAGAATTGGTAAACTATGTGAGAGAAATTAAGAATTTAGTAGCAAGACTGAAATTAAAAGTCTAAGATTTTTATAATTTACTTTTCATATTATAAGATGATTTATATAAAAGACTGAGATCAATTTCTTCACAAGTAGGAGAATTTGTTTATGAGTAACTCCAAGTTTTGTAATTGTAAATGCTCATAAATTCATGTTAAACAAGAAGCTCCCTACTTCATTTGTTTTCTCTTGAAACAACCTGATGGTAGAAACAGGTGAGGAAATGAACTATGGTGATACTGGATTGTAGGCCTAATTCTGTCTCTAACTCCTGTGTGTGAAATTAGTCATCTCACTTTTATTTACTTTCTGTTGCTTTATCTATAAGTTGGAAAAGGAAAAAGATCTAATCTCTGAAGCCTGTAAAGCTGTAAAGTACTGTTATTTGTTGACTATCACTTTATGGCCAACATGAAAAGAGGAGAAAATAAAGCAGTGGTTGTCAGTCAAATGGAAGTATTTTTGGTTCACACAATGTGCATATGGGGTGCATATGTGTGAAGAAGAGGTATCTAGACAGTAGGTCCCAGAGAGGCTGCTAAAAAGCTTTCAATGCACAGAAAAATACCTCTCGTTCTTCCCCAGAAAGACTCCAGAACTATCTGGCTCAAAATTTCAATAATATAAGATTGAGAAACCCTCAAGTACAGTCACTGATCAGAAATAGCTTACGATTTAGAAAGTAAAACTAGTTTGTAAATATAATCAAAAACAAGAAGTCAAAATAAGAACATTATCTGCTGAATCCCACTGCAAACTTATGCACCGAAGACGTAAAATATCTGTGCCACAAAACAATACTGCATTTAGGTTGGGTCGTAAATAAATCACAGCAGTTCCACAACAGAAATCAGCATATCATTACAGATCACTGTATTAGAATTTTTTTGAATAAGAAACATGTTAAATACTCATTTATGAAGGGAAAAAGAGACTAAAATACACATTTGAATTAAGCATGGTGTTTATGCAACTTTTTAATGTTATTAAATTACAGTACAATTAGTTAAAACTGCATCAAAAGTTTTGGTAACATAGAGAATAAATCTCAACTACATGACTGGCAAATAGGCTGCATCAAAGAATCTTAAGGCACTTTCTCTACACTTGATCATTTTGAATAATACTTTCTCACTCCAAACAAAAATTTTACAAAACTACCTAGCCATAAGAATAATATTCTACCTTGTGGGTTCTCCACTCAAGTATGTAACAAAGTCATCTGTCACGTTAAAAAATCTCATGACCCATCTGAAAGATTTTCATTTGGCAACGACAATGTAAGCTTTTAGACTCTGAACAGACAGCATTCAAGTAATCCTAACAGAGGTGGTCAAGCTATAAACTACAAAACAAGAAGCAGAAGCAACCTACAGGGAGGGAAGTAGTATCTACGAAACAGCCAAGTTCTAGTACTCTATAATTAAGATATAGAAAATTGAGATAGTTTGAGGAAAAAATTCAATTTACCTGTTTAACTATAAATTTTAGTAAAATGGCTATATTTGAGCTGATTCAAAATATTTAAAAAATACTGAGCATTGTAAGAATCTATTTTTAATCTCTAGACAATGACTTTGGACACTTATCAGCTTTTTTTAAATACTAGGAAAAATACTATTTTCTTCCCCAACTCAGGGGATAATGCATCTATCACAAACAAAAAAAAAAGAAAAATAATTATGTTTTTTGGCTAGTATTTGTCTCTCTGATAACAATGCAAGTTCCATGGGGGCAGGAATTTCTGTCTTATTGTGCTCACTGATGTGTTGTTAATGCCTGGTACAGCCTTGTCTAAGGTACACTCATTTAACGAGTATCTGCTATTTGAATGTTGACCATACTTGGATTATTCAAACAATCACAAGATTTACAGGAACCTATCACTATGCAGACTGACCACAAGATGACAAGGACAAAGGTGTGGAAATGCAATAGTCTCTATCCAAGGAAGACATTAGGTAAAGTGCAAACACTTACAATGCCTGTCAGATGATGGTCCAGTACATCAGTTCCCCCTCCCCAAATTTATATGGTGTGTGTGCACTGATGCATTTATACTTGTTTCCTAAATAAGAGCTGCCATAAAAATTTTTCTGTTGAATTATTATAACAAACACAATGCCAAATGCATAGGAAATAAAATCTGTAAGTCATTATAGGTAAAAGTCAAATCTCTAAAAAGGTTTGATAAAGTTCCTTCATAAAATAAAATGTTACTAAAAATTAAAAATAAAAATCTAAAAATATTGTTTTTTAGCCATAGTGTTTAAAACACTGGTCTAAGCTACTTGGAAAAACTTTTTTTTTTTTTTTTTTTTTTTGCTGTGCTGTAGATGGAACCGAGGATTTTACACAAGCTATGCAAACACTCTACAACTCAGCTATATCACCAGCCCTTATACTGCCTTTTATTCTTCTGATCACAGTGACACTTACATATCAGCATATGGAAAAATTCAATAATAAATTTGACTTAATGTAATTATCACAGAAGCATCACATGAACAGTTTACCATTAAGACTTTTCCTAATTTATAGGCATGTATTTTCTCAATGACTACTTTCTTCATATTCCTTCTTTCCTCTACACAATACTACTCCACTCTGAATAATTAAAGTGATTATAATAACTTGTCATTTGTAGGATGTTGTTGTACTCATTGGTTTATGAACCATTTCCCATTATTAGGCAGTAAGCATCTTCTATCAACCAAGATTTCTTTGGATATTTCTTTAATCCCTAGAGATCAGTATATAATGTCACTAATAGTAGTTAGTAAACACATATTAATTTAGTGAATAAATGAATACATACATAATATGGATGTCTAATCAACATATGTTTAGACACAGAAATTACTTTCATGAACCAGTGAAAGTAACAATGTCTTTAGCATTATTAAGGTTTATGTCCAGAAATGTCAATTTATGCGTTTTATTCTTTCTCTGTAACACTGCCATTCATCTTTTCTTCTTTCAACATTTCAAAAATTAATTTATCATGCAGTAATTCCAGCTCAAATAACCAGTCCGCACTCTACTTTTCTAATTCCCAAACATCAACAAACCAAGACTACCAATTCAAACTAGTTGATAATTTGAAAATGAGCACTGACTTTCTTCTACGTAACAACGGTAGTACAGTTCAGCAGTTACTCTAAAAACTTTATGGTAGTGGTGAATCTGTGGCATGCATGCCACACTGAGCTGCTTGAACCATTGAAAGCTCTAAAAGATTCGCCATCACTGCTTTATGGTAGTGTCCCACTGTCCTTGTGTGCAATACAGTGCCAATCTATCTCAACAATGACTTCAGCCTTAAAAAATACTTACAGTACTTTCTCACTTGCTTCATTGCTTTCACATGAAGCTGAACTCTGGCACTCTAGGCCAGGACACATACAAAGTGTCGTATCTTATGTGAATACCAAGACACATTTTATTAAATCATTTGCCTTCTCAAAAATATGTACTATTTCCGATAAAATGCAAAACACTTTGCTGAACTTAGAAGGCTCTTAACAATCTGGTATCTGCTTTTACTTTATACATGTGTAAGAGACTGTGCTAGGGGACTTGCATCTAAAATATTAATATAATCCTCATTACATTAAAGATTATCAGTTTCACTTACCATCATGGAAACTACAATGAACAGAAGTACTTTCCCAAATCCAAAAGAGTAGGACATAAAAGACTTGAAATTAAAAAAAAAAAAAAAAAATCTATCTTGCTCCAAAGTACAATCCAGAATATAAAGCTGACTTCCTAAGAAGAAATACACATTTATACACTCCTTTATTAAGAGAAAAGGGAATCTAATTGAACATATGTGCCACATCATTCCAAAAAACCAATAAAAGCAGCATTATAGATATTTACCAATATGGAAACCAAAGCTTACGGGTCTTCAGAACCCGAGTGCCACATGTCAAGAGCAGCAGCAGTACAAAGAGTCACAGTACAAAGCTATGCTCTTTCCAAATTTCCACAATGCCTTATTCTTCACTAAACAATTCTTCCTTTTCTAAATGATTTAAGGTGGTTCACAACCCTGTTCTGTAATATATTATGTTTTGGGGGAAATAAAGTTTTAAATAACAAATTAGTAAATTTTGACAGTGGAGCAGGGAAACAGCCTGAAAAACAGTAAACAAGTGTGGCTACTACAAATATTCACGGCAGACAAATTTGGCCTATGGACTACAGTTTGTCCATCTCGATCACATTACATTCTCATTACATTACATACTCATTAAGCTTATTCTCAACTCTGAATTTTGTTCTAATATTCTTTCATACCTTCCTGATCCTCACTTCTATTTATTCTAACTAAACTCACTTTTCAAGTTCGTATTTACGCTTCTATCATGTCATTTTACTTGGACAACAACTTTTCATTAGTTTGACTTGCATACACCACCAATTATCAACAGCTTAACAGTCAACTTTTAATAGGTGTTTCAAGTAAACTGATCATCAAAGAGGGCTCAAGTAGGAAAAAATGACGGTGTATATGTTATATTAGGCCTACAATTAGCACATACTATATATTTAGCACCCAATGGCTAATTTACTTATTTATATACAGTCTTAAACTATTAAGATTATTTTACACAGAAAAATAAAAAAAAATTTCTTCCTCCTTCCATGAATACTGCTGCATATAATTCAAAATTTCCATTGTGAGAATAATAAAATAATAAAGTAAAGGCTTACTGGAATAGGAAGTAGCATCCATCTTTCCAACTTTCACTGGAGAACCAATGCTTTTCATTTCAAGACCAACTTCATTCCAGACTGGCTCCAGTTTTTTACAATGGCCACACCATGGGGCATAAAACTATCCAAAAGAAAAAGACACAAATAAACAAAACCACTGATGTCTTCATGTTATTATGAACATTAATCTTAATATTTAAAAACTCTTTTGACTAAGTACCCTGCTAATAACCTATTACAGACAAAAACTTTAAAAATTGTTTCAATTGGTTGTATAACCCAAGATAAAATAAACATAAATTACAGAAGTTAACATCTAGCATATACTTCAAAACTTAACACTATTTTAAATGATTACAAACTTAAAACTTATAAAATTTATAATCAAAGTGCCTCTGCTTCCAAGTGACTATATAGTCACCAAATAGACGTACACCACTCTAAATGCATCCTCTTAGACATTAACGATGAATATGTATTCCTAATACAAAAATTCCAGTTCAACAAATGACTTGGCTGACATTTACTATGTCCACTGATAAGATAGATATTAGGATGACTTTTTGGCACAGGCGCAAGTCAGGCTGATTAAGGTAAAACTGTATTCCTTCGTACTGAAAGTTATCTAAATAATGTGGGTGATACTCAGGTTCCCCACTAATGTGCTGTAACAAACTGCTTATTATAGTTTAATGAAATAAGACTTTTCAACTTGATGCTTTGGGAATGTTCAAATGTATACCAAAGGAGGAAAAATTAAATAGTGAGAACTTATACTCTACTGGCTACATTTACTAATCATCGACTGTGCCATTCTTGTCTCATTTATTTTATTTTATTTTTTGCTACTCTACCTTTTTTTTGGTCTTTTTCCTTTTTCCTTTTTTATTGGTACTGGGGATCGAACTCACAACTGCCTGCTTGCAAGGCAGGTGCTTGTGCCGCTGAGCTAAATCCCCAGCCCCGCTACTCTACTTTTTGATGAAGCATATGAAAGGAAACTCCAAATATCATACAGTTTATGTGCATTCCAAAACTGAAAGTGAGGACAGGGTAAGGAAAATTTAATTTTATTCACTATATGATGAAAGAATGATCATGACCACTAATGATCCTAATATAATCAACCTCTTGCAAATATGAAAAAACAAGAGAATTCTACAACAAACTCACACCATAATATATCCCTACACCATAATTCACAAATTTATCTCATTAAAAGGGTTACAGTTTCCTTTCTTAACGTCCCCACCATCAAATTTCATCAAAAATTTCCTGTCAAACACTTAAAGGTTATTCCTTTCAATATACAACTCAGTAATACCTGACAAAACACAATAGATAAATAACTAATTATATTGTCTACTTTGTGTGGAAAAGAATAAAAAATACTTAAATACTTAATATATAAAACTTACATACTCACATCTACAAGCCAAATGTCATCTTTTCGATTGTCTTTAAACCTAAAAACAAGAAAATCAAATCTCTGATTTTACGTTCGTGTCCACTTTCAAAATGTGTAGTATAGGTACAGATAATAAACTGATTAAAAAACAGGGCCATGGAAGCAATTCTTTCAACAAATTTTCACATAAAATTTTACTCAGTGACCTATAAATTTTATCCTACCCTTCAATGTATCTTAAGAAAAATCCAACTCCTACATTTAACAAGTATGGTATGCTGCTGGCAACGCTCCCCAGCATAGGAGCCTTTCTGGTGAGCATTCACTTAACAAAATCATTATTAAGAACAAAACTACTTCCTCCTTCTCATAAGTTAGCGCACTCTAAAACAGGAGGCCTGAAGTGACACACCTCACAGGTCACCACTAAATTCAGAAAGTTACTAGGTTTTTAAGAATGACTTTCTTCAGAATCAGAAAGTTTCTGTTAACAATTTGCAAGCCAATTCAAGTCCCACTATCATGACTGGGTCACTTTCAAAACAGCACTTGATCAGCCTAGAGACTGTAACATACAATCAGATGTCCATGTGGTCAGTTAGGGCAAGCTAAACTACAAGTCACACTTAAGCCCTTACTGATTTACTGTGACACTGCAACAAAAGACAAAAAAGGCACCAGCTCTTCAGTGGTCCAGTTTTCCCCCATGAAAAAGTACCAGCCAGATTAGGTGGATGGAATGTAGATGAGAAAACTCAACTCACTGCTGAGGCATGCTGAACAAAAAGGCTTCTCTGGCTTTGAGTGCCCAGAGCTAAGAACCTCAACAAGATTTTTGTAAAAGTGTCTGGGAGATGCTTCAGGTAAGTCCTCTAATCAGCTTTCATTTAAATAAGAGGCAACTAAGCTAAGAGTACATAAACATTAGCTTGGGAGGCCAGAGTCCTTGACTACAAGTCCCTTCAGAGACTACAATGTACTCACATCCCGGTGGAAAAGGGTTCTCGCAGACGCCCTACTGGAGAAAACACCTTTACTGCCCAGAATATGACACAGAATCTTGGTCTGGAGCTAGACTCCTCAGCTACCATACACAAGGCCTTGTGATTAATGCTGTGATGCAATGAAGATCAATACTCAATTCTAGTACCCACTCTGAATGATTAAGGTAAAACAAACAACAAATACAAGATAAAATGATAAAGTATGGAAAAGTGTGCCAAGTTTTTGAGCCTGCAACTATCAGTAAAACTCTTTGGAGCATGTCCTCATTTTCTCTCTCTCACCTAGAACAGTGATGGTGAACTTATGGCATGAGTACTACCGTGTTTTTCTTTTAACAAAAATTGTTCATGCGTGTGTGTGCGTTTTTTTAAACTAAAACATCAGTATTCAGGTTTAACTGCACTGTTGGAACTTTGTGACAAATAAGTGTGTTTTGGCTTGCAGTTTGGCACTGGATCTCTGAAAGGTTTGCTATGCCCTAGAACAACTCCTGAAACAAAATTAGCATTATAGAAGTACTGGCCATTATAGTCTGTATATTATTAAAAGATTAGACTCTCATGTAAATATTTAGACAGTATATGAATTGGACAAAATTAAAATATTTCAAATACATGAATACTCACGATTCATCTAAATCTTCTACAAATCCTTTACATAAAGCTACATCAAGTAAAAGAACTGGAAAAAAAAAGAAACCAAAAAAATAAATAAATAAATCGTGACTTGTAATTTCAATCTTACTATTACCTATAAAATGCTTTGATTTTTTTACAATTTACCAAAAACACTTTCTATTCCAGAATGTAACACAAAAACATAAGCAGTTCATTCATTTTATAAATGTTTCTTCGATGAGCCATCATACTGCAACTGCCATGTGTTATGCGGGCGACTACATCTAATAAACAGCTCCTTTTTGTACACATCTTCACTCAAGCTTTCTCTACATTATTTTACTGCTTTGAAACAGAAATAAATCCTTTCTCTACAGGGTTCTTTTTTTCCCCCCTGTAGCAGGATTTATCTCTTCAGTAAAAATTCCAAAGGCCATGCACAATAGTATTCCATTTTCTTTCTCAAATAGAAGAAAGAGAGAAAGTTGAGATTCACCCTCCAACACGTTCCAGAGCAGTACCTGACAGCGCGTTCTCAGTGGTGGCTGGGTGACGCGCGAGCCCACAATGAGCAGCGGGGCCCGCAGGGGGACAGGGGGGACGAGAGAGGCTCACCCCCCGGGCAGACCTTGACAGGACCTGTCCGTCAACACCCCCCGCGCAGCCCCGGCGGTGGAAATCCTCCAGACCTGACAGGACTCGGCAGCCAAGGCAAGTCCCGACCGCCGCGTCCGGCCCCAGGCTTCCGGCCTCCCTCCCAGGGAAGCCCCCGAAGGAGCCCGCTCAACCAGGGGTCTGGGGTGGGCGGCGCGACCCCGCCAGCCTGAGGAAGCCGCCGAGGCCGCCGCGACCCCGCCGCGCTCCCATCCCGCGGGCGCGCGGACAGCGGCTCTGCGACTACTGACCTGTAACGCAGAGCGCGACCGCCCGGCTCCACGGGCCAGCCTCGCTCGCCATGAAGAGCTGCATTAGCAGAACGGTCCACTGGAGAGAAAGAAACAGCGGCACTCCCAGCCCGCCGGAAAGGGAAGCCGGCTCGAGCTGCGCGGAAGGGAAGCTCGCCGCTGAGGCCGGGGGCGGGGCAGGCCGGCTCCTAACCCCTCCGAGGATGCTGCCGGCCTCCCTCGCTCTGAGCATGCGCTGCGAACGAAGCATGACGCATGCGCAAGATTTCGGCGCATGCGCAGTGTTACCTGCCTGAAATTTGCCTCCATGGTTTCCTCAGGAGCGTGGGAACCTCCGGCGTAGGGTGTGATTCCTGGGAGGGCAGAGCGGTGTGCTTAAATTACTTTCTGGGAAGTTAGCATAAAATTAACTGTTAAACTTAGTGCTGTAGGTGGGGTAAGCTTAACCTCGAAGTTGAATTTTGTTAGCGCTTTTTATTGCTTGCACATCTGATTGCCGTGAGCACGCGTGCGCGTTTGTGGGGTGAAACTCCTGGACAGTTGTGCGGTAGCAGTGGAAGGATGTGGATTGCTGCCCAGCTGTGCGACATGCCTGGATTTCCAAGATGTGTGTGAACTCCTCTTTGAAACTATTTGCAAAATGGGGACTTTTACTGGCAGTTGTTAATGCATTTTTGCCAAGTCCTGCTTTAAAAATTGTTTCTCTTGAATAGTGAAAAACTGAAGTTGAGGTTAAAGGCTTTATTTTTCCCATCTATCTCTTGATTAGGGAAGTAAAGAAAAAAGGTACTGTAAAATATTTATATTGCCATCTTTTTCTGTATGCGGCAATGATTTATAAAAGCAATACATTTTTATGTGATAGTTCCTGTTTAGTTTCTGCATCTGATTTAAATGAATTTTTGTTTTCGTTTTTTGAGGGAGACTAATACTGTTTCAGTCTCTTGGGTGCTGAGATTGCACATGTGCACCACAAGGCCCTGATTAGATGAAATTTTTGTAGAACATAAGATACCAGACTATTAAATCAGTTTTTGAAAACGTATTAGGAAGAAAAACAGGATTTTTATCAGTCGATTTACTCTAGGTTCTAAGAAAAATCTCATTGAACAGTGGTGTTCCAAGTGACTAAAAGATTGTAATTACGAGTGGTTTGAGACCAAGTTCTAGCTTTGACTCCTTTTATGCAAGCAACATGGTATGCAGGGTAGGCCTTTGCAGATTTAAAGTTTTAAAAACAAGTAATGGACAAACTAGAACTATAAAGGTGATGGGAATATTCTATCAATAGACTATTTTATGAAGTAGACTTAATAGCACTGAAGGACGCTACTTCATTCTTCCTACTCATCAAAACTCTGTCTCCCACAACCTATACAAAAAGTTAATTGGCGTTGCACTTTGCTTTACAGCTTAAATTTAGCAAATGGAGAGCAACAATCACTTTGCTGAGACTTGTATTTTCCAGTACTGTAGCCATTAGCCACATGTGACTAAACAAAGATCTAGACAAAGACTTCTGTTGAAGTTTTAGAATCTAATGAAATATAAATGTAAAGCTGGATTTTAAAAGACACTGGAAAATGTAGACTATCTCAATATTAGTAGACTATTGAATAATTTTGGAATATTGAGTTAATAAAAGATACTAAACTTTTCTCACCTGGCTTTCATTTTTCTGTGTAGCTACTAAAGATTTTACATATGTGCCTAACATTGTATTTTTATTGTACAACACTGACCTAGACAATCTGAAGACAATTAAAATAATGCATTAATGTGATAATCCAAAACAAAAAAAAATGAATTGTTGAAGCTTTTTGTACAGAAAACAGACTGATTATCACATACTAGGCAAATTTGTATTAGGCAAATACAATATTGTAGTGGTTACGATTCACTGTCTCAACCTGATTGACTTGGAAACCATTGAGGAGATAGCACACTTCTGAGTGTGTCTGGGTGGATCATGCAGGCTTGACCTTTGGGTCCATATCCGGTCCTTTACCCCTGCCACTCTGGTGCTGTTACTTTGCTCTGCTTCCTGGCTGCCAGGAATCAAGTAGCATTCCCTTCCTACAGCTTTCCACCATTGTTATGGCTAATATACTGTGTCAAATTGAGAAGTTTAGAAATTTAACTAACAGACTTAGCAGGGAGGCAGGGTTCTTACTTAGTATCCACGTCCTGTGCAAGAGGATGGCACAGAGATTTTGTGAAGGCTAACCTGGCTTGGAGGGGATGGGGTGAACTGTGTACAATATAAGGGAACAGAAGCAGCTCTTTCTCCTCTTGCTCTGGCTGCTGCCTTAAGTGTTGCCTCAGTGCCGTGCCACCCTGCCTTGGAGCAAGCTGATTATGGACTGAAACTACCACAAACAGCTAACTAAACATTTCCTTCTTTCATTTTGGGTGTCAGATGATTTTGTCCCAGCAATAAGAGAAAGGTAAAAGTAACCAAGACAACCATGAGGTCTCCCAAATATGTGAGTAAAATTTAGCTATTCATCCTTTAAATTGTGAGTGTTGAATATTGTGTCTCAGCAATAGGAAAACACAGAAAATTGGTACAAGTAGTTAGTTTGCTGGGATTACTTTTTTTTTTTTTTTGTTACAAGGATCAAACTCATAGTCATGAGTACATGCTTACAAGGCAGTACTTACGCCTGTGAGCTAAATCCCCAGCCCTTTACTGTAACTACTAACATTGTGATTCAGGAGCCAGTGGAACTGGTTTATAGGAAGAGTTTGGAAAAGCTTGCAGATGCAGGCAGGACAAACTGGAATCCTAAAAGTACAAACTGATAGGTGATTCTTAGAAGACCGGGAAGCTGAAAGGAATGCATGTAGCAAAGGCCATACTCAGGATTCAGTTGGTATCAAGGACTCTACATTAGAGGTTTGGCTGAGCCCATGTGTAATGCTGACAGAAAATTTGTCTGCATTTTGCTCGTGTCCAATAACTTTGCAAAACACTGAGATTAGGTGGGGCATGGACTGTTTGTTCTGGGGAAGGAAATTTCAAGGTAGCCTAATATTACGACTGTGGTGTGGGTATTAAAACAACAATGAGATTCTCACGCTCCAAAGAGTGGCTTTTATAAAGAAATCAACCAATAACAAATGCTGAAAGGGCTGTGGAGGAAAAAGGAACCCATCTCCATTGTTGTTGGTAGTGCAGAATGTTGCAATCACTGTGGAAATCAATGTGGAGATTTCTCAGATATGCAGGATTAGCGGCCCCATTTCAGCAGCTATTCCTCTTCTGGGTATTCTCCCAGAAGAATGAAAAACATCCTATCACAGTGTTATATGTGCACCCATGTGTATAGCAGCAGAATTTGTGATAGCAAAATCTTGGAAGCAGCCTGAATGCCTGTCAACCAAGAAGTGGTTAAAAACATGGTCTTTTTATACAATGGACTATTACTCAGCTATAAAGAAGGGTGAACTGAAAACTTACTAAGTAAAGGGTGCCACTCAAGTCTAGACTCACAAGTGAAATCTGACTCAATGAGTAATCACTGTCTCCCTAGTATTAGAAGCTGAAAGAAAAATAAAATATTATAAATTCATATTCATTCTGGAAATAATGTTATGTTTGCCTTCCAAAGTTTTTCTTACTTTTCAAAATTGGCTTAATAATTTCAACTCTTCTGGATTTTCATATCAATTTAATAAAAGCCTGCCAATTTAAAAAAAACTGGAAGTTTTATCAGTATTAGATTATTAGATGAATTTCTTAGAAAAAATTTGTCTTCAAGTGTTTCACCTTAAAATGCATTTCTTAAAATCTTCAATTTTCTGTAATGCTTTATGGTTTTTTGTATATAGGTCCTATAAATTTTGTAGTGAGATTATTCACTAGTTTATATTTTAATACTCTTGTAAATGATGTGTTTTGATTTGTCACAATGACGTGGAAGTACAGTTACTTTTCCATAAACATTTAAAATTAATGTCTATATATACCCTCCAAAAGTTCCTGTGTTGAGACGTAACCACTAACAATAATGTGGAGAGATTGACTTTTGGATGATTGAATTATGGTAGTGAAGCTCTCAGGAATGGGTTTAGTGACCTTATAAAAAAAGGCTGAAAGCAACATCCTATTCCCTTTTATATTCTACCTCTGTCATGTGAAGCTTCAGGAAGAAAGTGACATCTTGGAAGTAGAGAGCAAGAGAACAAGATACAGAATCTCCTGGTGTTTAAATATGGAACTTTTCAATCTCTAGAACTGTGAAAACTAAGTATCATTTATAATTTACTCGGTCTATAGTATTTTGTTATAGCATGAAAAACAGAGTAAGGCACACATCTTTAATAAAAGACATGTATAAGGATGTCTGTAGACAAACTTTTTGTAATTGTGAATATCCAAATAATTAAACTTTCTAATAGAATGGATAATTGTGGGATACATTATAGCAATGAAAGCAATTATCTATTGCTTAAAGAACTTACATGAACCCTCCTGATAGTAAATGTTATGCAAAATAAGGCTAAATCTCAGGAAAGTTATTCACTTATTATTTTATTGACATAATCTCAAAATACAGTAAAAATAAGCAATATTTTTCAAAGTTAGTAGAACAGGTAAATGTCTTAGTTCTTAATCTGGATGCTACTTACAAAGAAGTATTGCCTTTGTGAAGTATACTGAACTTTTAGAATCTGTACTTTTCCATATGTAGGCTATTGGAAGAACATTTAAAACTTAGAATAAAGCTGTATACATGTTGATTTTTTAATGAAAATGTATTTTGCAGTGTTACAGTGCTACTCAAATTTTTGTATCTCACTCTATAAATATAGAAGTTAAAGAAATAATATTATGAAAGTGTGTATGAAAGTCTGAAGTCAAAATCCTAATACATAATGAAAATAACTTAAGAATGAAAAAGACTTCATTGTAAAGCCATAAACACTGAGTCAGAAGTTTGAAATTTCCCATATATCATTACGCTTAATGTCTAAAATATGCCACCTATCTTTAAAAAAATTTTAAAAACAGTTTACTGATTTTTCAGAGGAGTAAACCTTGAAGAGATTTATGGTTGGAACTGACCCGCATAGTTATGAAGACCAAGATGTTTGCAGTCTGCAAAGTGGACACTCAGGAAAGCTGATGGTGTAATTCAGTCTGAGCCCAATACCTGAGAATTGAGTGTCAGTCTGAGTTTGAACACCCCAAAACCAGGTGCAGGCAGAATGGTGAGAGAAAATGAATTCTGAGCTCAAGCAGAGAGTTCACTCTCCTGC